AAACAGACAATTGGGTACGTGAACGATTAGTTCTAGTTTATGAGTGTAAAATACTGTAGTAAGAATTTGTAGTCACTCACTTTTATCTCGAGAACACGGTTGGTTTATTGAAAACAATTATCATTATAACCAACTGTACCAGTGCTTGTTTTAATGTGCTTTTGTTTAACTGTGCTAATTACAGCCACTTTGTGCCTCCATTACCTTCCATCATTGTCCCGCGGTTTTGGCCTTGTTCGCATGTACTCCATTCTCCTGCTTTCGCTTGTACCATTTCTTGGCACGATCTTGGTATTCATTCGATACCACGAGATCACCAACGAAATAAATCTGGTTACGTTCAACCTTCGCCTTCTGATTTATTTGGTACGCATTTCCCTGTAGTGTCATAGTCAATCTCGACTCGACACCACACTACAAATTTACGCTTTAATAAGAGCTTGGAACTATGTTAATAGGAAAATAATAAGACCAAAATACTTAATGAACATGTAATCGACATGTATAAATAAAATCTTAGGAAAATAGACTCAAAGGTTTTTGCCCCATACATGAAGCGTTTTCTACAGCACTTTCCTTTTTTGAAAAACCAATAATAGACCTGTCATTAGTGTTCATTTTGATCCTAGTTAATTGTCTACTGATCCGTTGGGATATTTTTAAGAAGAGCTTCATATTTTTCAGCGGTCAGCGCGTCAATCGTCCTAAAATTTGGTACCGCACAGTACGCAAGCAAGAAAATTTGTACTAATTCCTCTAATTTTCCCTTTCCCTGAGCTTTTCTCAATATTCTCTTGAAATTGTCGATTAACGCTTCAGTCTGCCGATTTGACTGCGGGTAGTATTAAGAAGTTGTAGAGTGGCGTCGAGTCGAGTTGGACTATGAACACCGCTACCAAGAAACTCGTGCCAAATGACTCCATAAAATCCCCCGAGAAGCCAAACACCGGAAGGCAATTATTGCACCACGTCGAGGTTTATTTGCTGGCGATCTCGTGGCATCGAAAGGATAACCGAGATCGTGCCAGGATACAAGCTTGGTTACAGAACGTAACCGAATTCGCGTGAAGTTACAATCGAAGTGTGTGAATAAGAATGGAAGCACAATATAGCTGTCATTAGCACAGTCAAACAAAAGCACACTAAAACAAACACTGGTACAATTGGTTATACTAATAATTGTTTTTATTAAACCAGTCGTGTTCTCGTGATAAATGTGAGTCACTACAGAAGCCCCCCTCTAGAAAGGGTCTACACTTTCGATAAATAGCGGTTTAAATCGTGGAACTGATCGGCTGACGAGCGATTGTAGGACGAACGATTTGGCGAACAGGAAAGCGATCGTTGATCGTCGAGTTGCCAACAAAGGTCGTTTTCAGAGAACGGTACCAGGAGCGATGTGCTGAACTTGTTACTTGAGTTGACATGCTACACGAGTTGTTTTTATCCAGAATCTGAAGATTGCGTTTCTAGATGTCCGGACCAGAAACGCTGCAGACGTAGGACGAAACCACATTGAGGCAAAAGACCAGAAGCGACCGTAGCGATCAAGTTCGAGACCAAGCGTATGCCAAGCATTCGAAACCAATATATAGACTGAGTGCTTTGACAAGAGCGTGGGTGGCCAGTCCAGCTTTCGCCAAAGTTGACTGAAGTCGACGGAACCAAACGGAGATGGTCGAAGGCGTGGGCTCAGGAAACAAAAAGAAAATCAAAAAAGAGAAGAGTGTGGCATAGGAATAGTCCTACACCGTATCGGTTGTTAACTGTGCGACTAGCCGCGGAAGGATACGAGCAACCGTACTCGGCGACCGGAACGTGAGACGGTAGTCTCGTTCGTATTTCGTGAGCCTGCAATCTCATTCGAGGTCAGAGGCGACGTGGTCTGCTGATCTGGACGTGAGACTGTCGTCTCCTCCGTAGATAGTGCAGATGACGCGTGCTGTTGACCGGGACGTAAGAATGAGGTCTCGGATGTATCTAGCGTGGGATCTGAAGATTTTAAGGATCCCGCTAGTTTTGATAGGTCTAGCATAGAATCGCAAGTTATCAGATAGGGCACTGTCATCGACATGTGCTGGTTTGAGACGATCAATGCTGACGATCTCGACGCGGCCATATCGATCAGCCTTGAAGGTCTTTTCGTGACGAGCGATCACGTGAAAAGAGCCTTCGTAAGGTTGTTGCAAAGGTTTGCGTACCGAATCTACTCGTATGAAAACACGTGTATAGGTAGATAGCTCTCGAGGAAGAGCGACCTGCCGATGTTGTATTCGAGTTGACACCGGAGACAGCGTTTGCATAAATGCAGACAGTCGATGGACGTAGTCTGATTTACCGAAATTAGGTCTGCTCCGTGGCGTGAAGAATTCTCCGAGCAGACGCAATGTCGTGCCGTATACAAGTTCAGCGGCGGAACATTGAATATCTGCCTTTAAGCTCGTTCTGACCCCTAAAAGAACGAGCCGTAATGTTTCGTCCCAGTTGCCGTTTTCGTGTGCTCGTAGAGCACTTTTAAGTTGGCAGTGAAACCGTTCACTTAACCGTTTGGTGCTGGGTGGTAGACGGATATGTTTATGCATATGCATTCCGTACCAAGCAGCCGGGTCAACGAGGAGAATCGTTAATAGGGTAAAGTTTCTCGAATAAAGCGTGGGATTTACCGTCACACGAATAAAAAGTAACAAGGATTCGGTACACATACATGGGAGTCTATTATATTAACACTAATCTTATCGTTATTCGTCATGTCGAGTATATTATATATTAAAAGATATGAAAATATACGACAGATGTGTATAGATAAACAATAGACTCGCCAAATTGGCTTCTTTGGAAGGTTTGATCAGAGGTTGTGGCGGGTTCCAGACTTTGGGATCACCAATATTTAGCGTGGTGTCGAGTCGAGTTGAACTATGAACACCGCTACCAAGAAACTCGTGCCAAATGACTCCATAAAATCCCCCGAGAAGCCAAACACCGGAAGGCAATTATTGCACCACGTCGAGGTTTATTTGCTGGCGATCTCGTGGCATCGAAAGGATAACCGAGATCGTGCCAGGATACAAGCTTGGTTACAGAACGTAACCGAATTCGCGTGAAGTTACAATCGAAGTGTGTGAATAAGAATGGAAGCACAATATAGCTGTCATTAGCACAGTCAAACAAAAGCACACTAAAACAAACACTGGTACAATTGGTTATACTAATAATTGTTTTTATTAAACCAGTCGTGTTCTCGTGATAAATGTGAGTCACTACAAAGTGTTGCCACGTTTAAGGCCGTTCAGAATGCAGAAATGATGAAGTCCCAATAATGAAAACTACGGACCATTTTTGGAAACTATCATTTACGGAAACTCGAAACAGTCAAACTTTTGAAGTAGTTTATTTCAAGTCATGATGGTTGATGTACTGCGGTTATATAAGAAAAGTGTCAATGGCAATTAACAAATATTTCGTTTTAATTAGCCTGGCAAAATGTGCATGATTTCTCGAGCATGAGTGTGTAGTGATCTACTTTTATCAAGATGACGCGATTGGTTTAATGGAAACAATCATTATTATAACCGATTGTATCAGTGATTATTTTACTGTGCTCGTTTCTTTAACTGTACTAAAGACATCCATTATTCTTCAGTTGACTGTGACCTTGTACGCTCGCACGTTCGCCCGTTGATTGCACTTGTATATTCTTTGGCATGATCTCGGCATACTTTCGATAACACGAGATCGACAACGAGTAAATCTGGTTACAATCTCCTTTCGCCTACTGATTTTCTGGTACGCACTCGTCTTGTAGAGGTGATCATAGTCAACCTCGACTTGACGCCACACTACAAGTGTGTCTTGTTTTACCAGCAGCAAAGTTCAGTCTTCTGAGAGGCTTTCGAAGCTTGAGCTTATTTGGAGCACCTTTCTACAGAAGCTTCGACTTCTCCATCAATATTTAACCAATATGCATAACTTCTAGCCAATGCTTTTTTCAAACGATACGTGAATGCGCAGAATGAAACTGTGACAGAACTCGACGATGTGTTTTAATAGCATTTAGCAGTGAGGGCCAACAAATTAGAGACGACAAATAATGCTTGAAGGCTCGCAGTCTGTTATAGTCGCACACTTAATATCACTTTCTGACACGGGTGTTGTTTGTATTGTAGTTTGTAGTATCTGATTAATATCTCCCAGAGATACGGTGGTGGATAACAGTGTCTTCGTTTCCGGACTTGCCTCGTAATTAATCTGGAGAAAGCGTGAACTTGATTGAAATTTGTTTAGGATTTGTATTTAATTTTAAAATCATAGGTGAGTAAAATGACCATCAAACGTAACGGACGATTAGCAGTATACGCCAGGATACCGGACTTTGACCCACAAATAGAAAGAAGGAATTTGTGGTCTTTGAACTATGCAAACATACGCCTATAAATCACATTATGAAATTCCTTGATCGTGAAAAGCAAAACTAGCCGATCCTTTCCTATTTGACTTTACTTTCGTTCTGCCGCATAATCCATAGATTTTTCCTTACCATCTGGAATACGATAGCTAGTAAAAACACCAACACCATTATTAGAAGCATTAGCATTAACAGTTATTTCCCATTTAGGGTTATGATGAGTCAACAGTAATGTAGAGAGTAAGATTTCCTTGATTTCATCAAAGGTATCACAATGCCTACGGTAAGTTACCCAGGTTTTCCATCAATCCCTGCATTTCATCCAGCCTCAAATCTCCTGTTACGATATACTTTCCAGGGATCTCCCTCGCTGGAGCGCGTTACTTGCAACTGCATTCAAGTAAATATAGCCTTCAGCCATATATCACAAACATAACGTGTTGACAAGCACTGTCCTGTTAATTCACCATGCTTTCACCTTCCATGACCTATTCCTAGTAAAAGCGTTATCTTGTATACCAATGAACTACACCCGGAAAATGCCAAATAAATCGAAACAGACTAAATACAAATTATGAATTTAGATCAGATGTTGTTTGAGTAGACTGCCCGACGTGTTTCGGTTTCGGTTTCTCCCGCGTTTGTGAAGGATTTTATCGAAGTTAGTGTGTTCTTACTGGTTAATGGCTTCATTTTTATCCGTTTAGTGACCCGATGGGAGTTTTAAATTTGTGCTAAGAACACTTGTTTTCATAAAAAGTGGTTAGGGATATATTGATAGTAGGAAGTCGACATAATAATGTAGAAAGCACTTATGGACCACTTTATTCTGTCTGCATTTAGGATTCAGTTCTCTAGTTAACCGGAATTTATTATAGCTACGTATGAACTTTCGTTTTAAAGTCTCAGAATCTTGTTAAAACAAGTTCTCCTATTTTTAACTACTTAACGTTGTTTCCGACTTGGTACATAGGACGAACAACCAGGTAGTAGACTAAGGCGACGTTTATTTGTCGTATCTCTATGACTGGTATTCTTAGCTGGTATTGCTGACTTTGAAGCAAACCCCAAACGAATCCTATTTTTCTTCCACTGATCATGTGATATTTCTGCAGACTTTTTGTTGAGCAAACCTTGTATATGTATGGTTGGTGGAAAATAATGGACGAAATATTGTTTTCGCGTGTTGCGTAGTTCAGACTTAGTATTGGTAGTTAACATTGTAGAGGTCACTCTGTCTAGTAAACCTTGTCGTCTGGTATCTTTTTGAAATCCCTAATGAGCAACGTAATATGTACTTTGAAGCAGTTTTTAGTATCTGATGAAATAATGGTTTTCAATAAATAGCTAGCGGCTATCGTACTTGCTAAGTAAATGCTTTCTTGGGGATGTAGTTTTCATTTTCTGTCGACTATACGGCTCTAACACCTTTATGCTGGTAGTCACTCCGTCCGTTTAATGCCCATGTAGTGAAAATAAATTTACTCAGATTAGTCGTTAAGTACAACCATGTGAACAGCGTCACTGCAGGGACGATGTGTGAGACGATTTTATGGTTGGAACTCGTCCATGTGATTAATGGCTTGAGATATCATTTGTAGGGGTTGCATGTAAGCAGAGTTTGGACAATCTTCACTGAAATATGTTTTGCTGGAATTTAGGCGTAAACTGATTAAGTTCACACAACACTTGAGTACATCTAGAAAAGCTAACAAATGAAACGGTAGGACGTAGTGATGTTGAAATTAGGAAGTGGAGGATACCCTAGTTAATAGTATGAAGTAATTCAAGAACTCAGTTCTTCAGGGGTTGGGTATAATTGTGAACAAATGCTTTCTGGATAAAAAGTAACGTCATCCACCAGAAGTTTGCAAACAATTAGATTCAGCTAGTGACCATTTAGCCCAATTGAATGATCGTCCGAATCAGTTACTCGTTCTAGATTAAAATTAAAGTTTATTTAAATAAGTGTATATAAAAAGTAAGACTTCCAGGCCGTGTTTCCATTTCCTGCAACTAATTTTGTTTCTTGGGAAAACTTATATAGAAAATATCAATGGCTCAGTGGGGCTCATATGGTTCTTACTGGCAAGGTGCTTGTCCAGGATATTATGATTATACACAACCTGCTCAGGTAAGTTATTTCATTACCTACTCACCACTGTAGACATATGATTATAACCATCAAACCATTCCAGTTTCATCAGTTCAAGAAAAGCCTTCCACACCTCCCCCACCCGGAGTAGAATCTACTGCTCCCAAGATGGATGGAACTGTTACAATGACAAGCTCCATTTCAGCAACTTATGACACATCGTGGTGTACTTCGACTCCATTTCATTCTCAAAACTACGCTTGTGCTTATACTTATTCACCTGCGCTCCCACCCCGTCAACCGGTCATGTTCGACCCAAGTCCACAGAGGCCTATGATGCCAAACGTTTCGTATCCTTCATATGGTTCTCCACAGTTCCCGTTGCATATGCGAAGTCAGTTAGGGTGTAACTGGAACGCAGCTAGACCTACTTATGGTTATCCAGTTAATGGAGGTGCGGTTCAGTCGTTTGGTATGTGGCCAGACGGAAGACCATCTGTTCATTCCAATGGTTTGGCAGTGACGGGTCCACGGTTTCCATTCCAGAGTACTTTAGGTAAGAAATACGTGTCTATGTGTGGTTCAAACATTATTGTATACTTGATTTATTGTATCTCGAGGTAGACTGATTTTTGTTAATATAGTTATCGAGTTCTTAACCGTCAGATTAAAGTGGTTCAGTGGTCAAAACTCTCATCTTTCAACCATCAAGTTACAATTTAAAGCTCCCCCCCTGCTCTGGTGTGCTAACTCTCGTGATGTCAATTTTTCTCATCTAAGCACACAATTATCTGCTTGATTTCTGATTTACGTTACTGTTGTTGTTCATGGGTTAGAATTTAATATTAACTCAATCTACCTCAGTCTAAGCAGCTAGGAGGCTCCAGACTAATGGCGGTAAACCACATCACTATGTTGGCCATTGGGTGGTTACTGGGCTGTACTATTTTGTCACAATTGATTGATCACTGGGTGGTGATCAATGTCATGTGTGTCAAGTCCTTCTTAGTGCAAATCGAATGCTATCGACCATGTTGCAATGTGGTCACCAGTCTAGGTGACTCGACACTGCGGCACTATGTATTGAGATTTAGATGGTGGTTGGAGATAGTCAACAGGAAACCCTGGACCCGGGTTTCGTGCTACTTGGCACTCGTCAGCAAGGTGTACCTGTAATCTTGAGGGAACTGGTGCTCCCTGACGGATTTGACCCCGTATCACCCAGTTTCACAGTCAAAGACGTTGCCACTGAGCTGGCGGCCACATTGCAACATGGTCGATAGCATTCCATCTGCACTAAATAAGAACTTGACACACGACATTGATCACCACCCAGTGATCAATCAATTGTGATTACATCTCAGTCCTACAAGAGGTCGGTCACGGCCCGGATAGCTCAGTGGTAACGTCTCTGACTGTAGAGCTGGGTGATATGGGATCGAATCCACCAGGGAGCACCAGTTCCCTCAAGATTACAGGTACACCTTGCTGACGAGTGCCAAGTAGCACGAAACCCGGGTTCAGGGTTTCCTGTCGGCTACCTGCAACCACCATCTGTACTATTTTGTGTTTAAGGTTTCGTCCTGGTAGTCTACTTCAGGATGACGGTTTCTTTTAGGTAAATATATTGGTCCATTACCTTCATAAACAGATATACATATTTGATGTATATTTAGGACAGTAAATCTACTATACAAAGATTACATTATAGGTTCGGATTTTGTGTTCAAAAACGATCTAATTATCTTTAGTCGGGGTGTCAGTCAGATATAATCGAAGTGGAGTCCAAGTTGTCACATCATATGAGAACGACAATCGAAAAATAAATGAGAGGATTTCAATAATGGCGATATTAGTTTTGATTAGGAAGAGCAATCATAGAGAATATCTCGAAGAGGAATCGGAAACTAAATATCAAAACTCAAGATTCAGAGGAGGATGCGATTGCGTCTATTCTACGCACTCTGACTCATGTGACCCAACGTTTTGGGCTGGCCTCATTCTTGCATCTATACCAACCAGCATTACTCGATGAGGCGGGGGATTGTTGATCCCACTTAGCTCTTTCTGTCCACCAATCGATTAGTATTCACAGCCATAATCGATACGCGATCCTTTCCAAGTACTCTACGCTTAATTTCAGGATTGTTTACTTGCTAAAAAATCGAATCACTTTTTGAGGGGTCTATATTGATCAATCTGTTTTTGCGAAAAGCTGTACCGTACTTCATGAACACACAACACATAGGATCCGACTTTCTCCAACATAACTTTCATCGCTATAAGTAAGAGTTGAGTGCGTGTTCCTTTTTATAATCGTCGATGTATTGAGCTCCTATTAATGACCAAATATGATTGGTTTTGTATGTACTATTTTGCGTGGTGACTATTGAGACTAACTTTAATTATCTAGATTCTCCAAACACAGTGGCTAGTGAAAATACTGCGAATACCCCAATTTCTAAAGAAGTCTTACAGCAACCACCTGCTAGTTTTCAGGACAAAGGAGCAAAAGAGCAGTGGAGCGATGAACTCAAGTAAGTCCACGGTTGGGAATTTTTAATAACGCCAGTAATTGGCCTTTCCGTGGTATGATTGGTTGTTCGGTATCAGTTTCTCAATTTCTTACCGTGAGATATTTCTTAACTAACTCAGTTTATGAACATCTTATTTTTCTGAATAAGTGCTTGATGGGTGTTTTCACCCAGAGATAGAGTTTCACTTGATATGTAATATTCAGGATGAGTAAACATGCCTCATCAGATAGACAGGGAAACAAGTGCGCGGGACGCTCATTCATACCTTGTTGTTTTCAGCTATTCAGCAGCTCATCAAGAAAATTAGTGCAAGACAGCCAGTGGTAAGTTGATGTATTTAGTTTCCGGATTACTTGGGTTATGTTGGATGTCTCGTTTTATTGGGTCGTGAATAAAATCATTGTCCTTTTCTATTATTTTTGATATTGTATTGAAAGGTTTACATTTCTGTGTTTTTTTTACTTATTGATTTATTAATTCCAAATTTCTTTTATAGGGAGTACGTCCAGCGAGCTTTTTGCAGCATTGATACAAGTGAAGAAAAAGATCAAATGGAACGGATTTTAAAAGAAAAATTGGAGTACGTTTTTAGAAATAACATCAAGGTCGATTGGAAGACAGAAAATATCCCAACTATCCCTAGTCGTGCGATTGCTAGTTTCCGTAAATCCTTCAATATCAGGGGTAATTCTGTCAAGTAAGCAGTACTTTAGTGTTTTTTTTCTGTCATTGGTATTACCGTGCATCTCTATGCATTTCTTCACAATCGGTTTAGACAAAGAAATCGAGGTCGTCCTGTTGTTCACCAGTCATATTGTACTTTCTGGAAAGTAGATATCTGGCTTGGTCATTGTATTAAATGTCTATTTCATCATAATATTTCCTGTGACGGTTTATTATCACATTATCGGTCAACATATTCCTTCTTAAATAAATGTGAATGTTACTTTGATAAAAACGTTCCACAGTTCCCATAGGTCTTGATGAGTGCACTACTTCTAGATGTAACTAATTTATCGGTTTTTCATCCATTGCATTGATGGCTTCGTGTAAATGCTGCCATTGACATGACTGTTATTTGCATGCTTCCGTTTGGCCAATCTCTGGGTAGTAAACTCATAATTGGGGGAATAGAATTCGAAGTCTTACCTCTAAATGTTTTTAAGTGTGAAATTGCACATGGTACTGAAACGAAAGACAATTAATTGTTTTCTTACAGTTTGCTAACTGAAAGTATTGCTATTTTGACACTACACTAGGTTGTTCATTGAAGTGTTAGCCATCTGTAATATTTATTTAAGGTGATTGTAAGGCCAACTTACGGTGGGGTCTTACTATGTTTGAGTCAAGTAACGATCATTCATTCCTTAAGTCGTGGTATTTTTTGTGTCAGAAGGTAAAAATATAATGATTCTGGTTCAGTTGTAGTGTTGTCAGGAATTCCTGTGCATGTGTCAAGGTACTTCTAGGTACTAATTTCGACTTGTTAGTTTCTATGATCATTTTGCGATAGTTGATCTAAGTCCTTTAAATTTACTGTCTAATTTAGGTTTTAAATTGTCTTTTACTGATACCTACAAGGTTGTCTATTTTGTTTTACTTATTTAGTGGGACTTAGTCAATAAATAAATAATAAATCAACCAAAAGTACTAGTAACACATTTCAGTAATGCTTAAATTTTCCCTAAATATCTACTCACCTATTAGTGACTGTTTTTAACCTCCTCTTTAAGTTATAACTCAGTCAGTAAATAACCTAACTGTGACTAATTAGATATTTACATTTTTGAATGAAATCGTTTAGTGTCGTGCGACCTGTTCAACTTCCCAGTCCTCGTGGACTTCGCCCAACGGGTCCATCAAGGGGAGCTCCTGCACGTCTTCCTGTTGGGCTTTTGTCGAGAGGTGGCCGCAATGTGTTTTCATCTTCAGTTGTTAAGAGTGTATCACCATCCAAAAAGTTGCCATCGAAATCTCGCTCACCTAGTCGTTCTCCTGTTTCCAAACCTCTAAAAGATTGGCAGAGAAAGCGTTTATATAGATCCAGGTCTAGTTCATCTTCAAAATCACATGGCTCCCCTCATTCTTCATCCTCAAGTAGTTTCAAGACAAAACGCCATCGGCGTCGGGACTCTCGGTCGCGCTCTGGTTCTCGGCATGCACAGCGAAAAATGAATGATGTAAAGGATTCTCAGAAAAGGTGTGCCAGTGATTTCCATATTTTGGTTTTACTGTATGCATTTTGTTCACACCAATGTATCTAATGGGTTCTAAACCATTTTTTGAGAAAGTTGCTGTGAGCAAACAAATTTGTGTGGTGATATTGTTCACTACGTCTAAACATAAAAATATTCATGTAAAGGCAAAAGTAAGAATAAGTTCCATAAATTGTCACTTGCATTGAGTTCAAACTCCAGTGGGAACTGAATTCTAGCATATTTTCAGTGTTATAAATGTTCTTGATAGTCTACTGGTTAGTCGAGACCGGTACTTTCTCATAGCCTTCTTTGGTGTTTGTTCTCGTTAGCCTTGAATAGTTGATCCAATGAGTGGTAATCAAGTATATTATTTGTTTCGAAATGCTCAGTTGCGACCTATTAAAGACTTGAGTTGAGAAAATGTTCAACTTGGACCAATGAGGAAGACGTTTTGCAGATTATAAAACGTATTTTACTCCATTCTTGTCATGTACGTCCAAGTTGATATAGGTTACTAAATTGTTAATAGTTTTATGTGAATGTAAAACTGTTTTTAAGAAAATGGTAGGATTAAATATTTTTAACAGAAAAACGTGTAGGTAGTTCTATATGGTTGTAAGGCACTTTGATATTATTATTCTCATTTTGCCTAAAGATTCAAACATCTGCGTTCCCCTAAAACCTTATTAAAGTTATTTACAAGTCCATGCATTCTGTATATCTTAATTCAATCCTCGAAAGTATCTAGCTCTGACATTCTTATTAAATATTTTTGATAGTTAGAAATTGTGTATTCAATCTCAGATGACATCTATAAAATTTTGACTGTTAATATAAGGCCTATAGAGAATTATAGAATCTAAAAGAGAAAACTAGTGATTTTAGACTAATCAAAACAATGAATATGTCTATTTTCCTCTCCACTTTAAATTCAATTAACAGTTTTCCACATCCTTTCACATTTTACATCGTGCTCCTTTGAAGTTCACTTGATCATAAACAGTTGTTTCAATATGACTTAATAAATACTGAAGCCCTTGGATTTTCTAGGAGTTTCTAATCAGCTTTCAGATCCGTTCAATACATAGAATCATTTATTTATCGTTAGTTATATTTAGAACGTATAGGCAATCGAATTTCACTTGGAAGCATTTTCCGACGTGATATTCTTTTTCTCCTGTCAAATTGTAAGAAAAACAATCATGTTTGTTGGGGTTTCCGACTGGCCTACGGTAAATTCTATTTACGATGATTCTTCCAATACGACAACGAATAGGTAATTTGATAAATGAAATGCCCGTCACACAACGCTTCAAAGTTAGTAGTTCATACGCTAATAAAGAATACAGGACATTCAGGTTGGCCTGATGTTCCGTACAAAAGTCAAGAGTTAACAAGAAACAACTTTATGTAGTAATATGAAATGAACTTGGAGTGCAATTAAGTTACCGAACTGACACATTTAGATGAGATGAATAAGCGACTTATTACCAGGTCGTATGAAGTATAAATCAAAGTTGTCAGACTTGACTATAGCTTTCATTTTGCAATATGTCGCCTCTATTGCTTGCAACCTTATGGTCAGGAATTAGAATATAACATCAACCATTTTTTTTAAGCATATCAACTGTAGAAAGTTTAGCTTGCACCGTCAGTATCAAGCGAAGTTTTCTTTTCTACTTAAACCGATCTAATACTTTGATGTTTTTTTATAATCCCTTCAAAATATTTATTAAGATCTCATACTAGTCATTGCATATTCCTCTTATCTATGTTCGCTATCTTATGATAGCCTTCATAAATGTTCACTCTCATCTTTTAGTACACCGCAGTTAGCCACCAGGGGGAATTCCAAAGGTAGACGGCGGAGACGTGGTTGTGCTTCGAATGCCGACTCAAGTGCGGACGCAAATACCTCTAATGAAGATGGAACAGCTGTAAGGGGTCGTGGACGTGGCAACTGGCGTGGTAAACGTGGAAATATTTCAAAGCACACTCCTCCAAGTGAATCTCGCCTTACACAACGAGCCAGTAGATTTAAAGATCATCTAGTGCAGTCACCTATTGGATCAGGTTCCATTGGACGAACCACCAGTCAGTTGCTTTCGAATTACACTGACGAACGTGATGATCTAGCTGTTGATTTTGGCAGCTGTCAAATCATTGGTACCATGCAAGAAATAGAAAAACAATACTTAAGACTGACTCGAGTAAGTTTTGTCAGTACCATCGATTGTGTTGAGTATATTCCGTAGTGTTTTTCAGTTACCCTTTAGTTATAAACTTCATCTTTTACCAGTTATCTGTAAAAAAATATGTATAATTTTCTGTAATTATGGTGTATCATAATTTCCTGTGTATGCGTCAACGAACTAGTTGCTCATTTTTATATGTATTTGTTAGCAGAATACTCGCTGAGGTTCCTATTCATGTACACTTATGTTTGTAGCTCAAGGGTATAATTGATGTGGTGCATTGTGTGCACTGGATGGTTTGGTCATAAAGCTTTCAATGTTTTCATAAACAACAACACAAACTTCAAACCGGTGTTGTACACTATCCCGCACATTCTATCCGATTCACATAATTTTTATTAAGTTATATTTATGTGTAAGGTTGATTACGAATTTTTGACAGAAACTTAGGTGCTCTAGAGGTACCGTTATAATATTAGTAAATAGGTAGTAACCATTGTCACATTTGTCCAATCAAGTTTCGATGTTGTCGTTAATCTAAGCGGCTCGGCATCACATGCTCTATATTTTGATTTGAGGTGGTTTAAGGTAGCAGAAAACTTTGCACTCAAGTTTCTAGTCAGTTGAGACTCGTCAACAGAGTATACCTACAGTCGTAAAAAAACGGATGTAGTGTGTAACTCGACTCACTCAGTTCCACAGTTTGTTACTATTGAACCGCTTCAATCACGAATGACCTCTAGGAAATCTTCGTCACGAAAATTTGTTTGGTAATGGATTATGTATACGCGACTGAGTCCTAGGTGTTATTAACTTTATTTATTGCTATCAACTGTAATAAGTCACTTGTGCAACCAGGGGTTAAGTAGAGTTTATGTCAACTCTCAACACACTTTAGTGAGCAACTGAATTACCGTACTTGTAATCATTGATTCTTCCGGTAAATCAATTTCATAGTAATTCACTGGTTGTAAGATGACTTTCTCCATTACTTTCAGGCCCCAGATCCTACAGAAGTGCGACCCTTAGCAATTTTGAAGCTTTCTTTGGAGCACGTCAAAGAAAAATGGCGTTCAAATACCGATTATCACTGGGTGTGTGAGCAGTTCAAAAGTATACGTCAAGACTTAACTGTAAGTCGTACTGTTGTTATATTGCGTTTATCGTTATCATATTAAAGGGACTGAAGTCCAAAGTAATTGGAAGTTAATACTATATTTCTAATTTATCGCAAAAGACATGTCCACTCTCATCCAGTCTTCTGATATCTATCTGATTGAGGTGACTCAGTTTGCCTCTGGCATCCATTTATTCCTACGCTATGCTTTGGATAACACACAGTACATAAATAATTTATTTATTGGATACAGTCAGTGTTATAATGCATGACTTTCTGAACACATTGTGTGCATATGAGAGAAAGTTCCTTGTGTTTTTGCACTCATTCGATGTTAGATGATTCCTAAGAACCTGTATGGTTTAGTATCTTAAGCTTATGCTATAAGCAAATAAACCAATAACTTCGTTTATCTGAATAGTTAATTTAATAAACAAATTTTACGATAACATGAGAGTGAATGAGATTTTGTTTCTTCATCATTGTCAGTTAATTCGTTTAAAACTTGTCAGATTATTACCATTTATGTGCTCTAGGTTTATCCATCTATTTTCTTGATGATAGTTAAAATGGCCAACTCACTGAATTTTATGACGAGATTGATTATCCCTTCTTATTTTTCCATCAATGTCTTTAAATATAGCTGTTGAACATATTGAGAGGGAAGATTAGGTTGTATTTAAGCTTCCATATTACATTTATCCATGTCACCTAGTGTTTCTAGTCATTTGTTGGATATATTGTTGTACGTTATTACTATACAAAAAATATATAGATTTCATTCTTTATTATGTGACTCATAAAGTACAGGTTCATGTAGTTGTTTTCCAACCACACTCTGTTCATGTGAGTTAGCGACAATACTCAGCTTCCTAAACGAAACTCAGAGTGATGTGGTTAAAATCTGTGACCTAATGTTTTTACAATTAAAGACGCCGCTTCGTCATTACTGTCTTTTACGTAGGAAACGTGTTTTATGTAGTGTTTAATGAATTTCCAACATATTGTTAAATGATTTTAGGTACAAGGTATCGAAGATGATTTTGCAGTATCAGTTTATGAAGCACATGCAGATGTAGCCTTAGAAGCTGGTGATTTTGAAGAATTTCATCAATGTCAAAGTCAGTTGCTTCGTCTCCATAAAGAAGGCTTAGGTGTTAGTAGACTGCTAGAATTTACTGCCTACAGACTTCTTTATTACATCTTCACTCTCGATATTTTAGGTAAGTTAATCGCACTCCAAAAAATTGCTTTATTATCCTACTGGAGCTTAGCTTTTCACTTTCAGAGGCTCCGCGTTTCGTGGCATCTTATTGGTAGCCTCAGTAGCTATTTCCATTTTAAGCTTGAAAGTCATCAAGGATGTTTTCTTTTAAAAACTGCTTTTTATAGGTTCTTTATCCAGATTGACCAGGTGTCTAATTGTCCCTAAATTAACACCATTCTCAATATTTTCTTTCTGTGCGATCAGTTGATTGTTTTTTTATTAATATCTACTGACTAAATATTCTTGAGTCTCAGGAGTGGAAAGAGGTGTTCATTATCTGTATTGGAAATATTACTTGACCAATAAAACTACTTTAGATAGAGTAAACGTGCGATCACTGATTCACTTTTAGTCTTTAACCCAATAAACTACAGCCCCATGGTGTTATTATTTAGCCTTTGATCGCGAACTTCTAATGGTACTTCTCTTTTCATTTATTGTATCGGCAGTCAAATTACCAGTAGTTGTGTGCATCTGGAAACTGACCCCTATGATCTCTTTCTTTTTCTGTCTACAATAGTGAAGTCTTCTAGCAACATTCAGTAGCTTCACTGATGTGAATATGAATTAGATCAATTTGTTATTTCTAACTGAAAATATGAAGACTCATAGTACCAGAATGTAAGACAGTTGATTTGTGACACTCGTTAAACTAAAGAAGCACATTATGTGAATCAGTCCAGCAAAATACCGTATTTATACGGCTTTCACTTGCTAGCACTAGTTGCTAAAATGATTTATCTGTTGGAGATCCGTTCATGTCTTTCACCTCATTATTTTAATGTCTTATTTGTATTACTGAATTGGAATATGACCAAATCTTTCTTTATTTCACTAGGTATCAATACTATCATGGCTGGTTTACGTCCAACTCACAAAACTAATCCATGTATTTCATTTGCTTTAAAACTCCGGTCAGCGTGGTCGTTGAGTAATTATCATCGTTTCTTCAAACTTCTTTGTCCAGCTAATGATGATCAACAACCTCCTTTACGGTGCAAACATGTTGTAAACTGGTTTGTTGATCGTGAAAGAAAAGAGGCTATCAGACTAATGTTTAAGGTGTACGTTGTGTTGTGATTTGTGATAATAGTTTTATAACTTGTAGGTGGTATTATTAGGGTCACTAATGGTAGGGTTGTTTCTAGCGTTAAAAGAAAGAAAAAGCTATACTTAGTCATCTAAGTTTGTTTATGATCGTTCAGGGAATGAACTGTTTTTTTCACTTATCACAAATATTGTTTTATTATCACTAGCTAGTTCATTTTATTATAACTACTGCTATTAATTAATGATTTTGACTTATACTAGGAAGAACTATGACAGCAGTCATCATCACAACACAAGACAATGATAGTTTAAATGATGCTGTTAATATTTCTTCTGCTTGAATCGATTGAAAGATATCAGTCATTACAAAATTCAGCGCCTTAAATACGGTTTCTATTTAGGGTTAAGTTTTTAAATGATCATTGGCTTAATAGTCACCCAGATCTCGTAACCAATGGTTGGAGACTGGATGACATGGCTCGATCACAAAGGCGTGGGTGTATACACTCTTTGTCTTTCCTTATACCGTGAGATTAAAATTGCTTTATATCTTTCTACGAACTGATTCTTTCTCCCTGTATCATATCATTATATAAAATCTTTCTTTCATATATTACTACCATTGAAGTAACTATTTCTGTGAATTTAGTGTTCATCTTGTGCTAATAAGGTGTGGTAACTTGGACCGATACATATATGTACCTGGTCGTACGTTATAGCTGACTCATTGACTAATAGTCGATGTTGTAATCTTGATAAAGTTTCAATCGAAAATGTTTTCTTACGTAGCGAAATCGTACTAGAACTGCACAAATATTAAACACTAAAACTGTCCATTAGGACATTTTATGCAACAAATATTTGGAATTTTGTGAATTTTCTTTCACTACTAGATCATGTCACTTCATTAAGTTTAAAAGTCGGATGTGTTGTAGCTCACTGACTAACTGATGGATGTGTTGAAAGTGTAAGCTCATTAATATTTAAGTTCTTTGTGTCTATTAGAACGATAGGCCTATTTTTTCCTTTGCAGTAATCATCAATATGTATACTCAGCCTTTAACACCTAATCTAACTTTTGTGCTCTCAAATTTTGACGATTACTTAATATTAGTCAGAATAATGTTTAACGTTATGTGTTTTAGTATATTTTTTGTGCCTATATCATATTTATCCGTCTTAGTATGTATGTAAGTTGTGGTAGTTTACTTTTTAATGGAAAATTAATTTCATGGAAATGTTCCGCTTTCTCTCTTCTTGTACTTCACTTGCTATCGGAAAAGTCTGTTTCTTGTTAATTTTATTTCGATGCTTTCTATTTGAGTATACATATATGCACTCAATTTTTGTAATTAAACTTTTTCTTAATAGATTTTTGTGCTTCCTTCAAAGTCATAAATCTTTAAGGTATACGGCTTTGTAATCTTTTTACGTATTCAGTTCATGTTTATGTTTTAATTTTGCATACTGATAATTCTGAATTTTTTTCTATTTACTACTATCTGCAAATACCGTATACGTGAATTTCGCTTGATGCCCTCAACGTATTCGTTTGTTTTCAATATGGATTCTTCCACTACACTTGCTAATGTTAATTGCTTATTTCAATTATGATCTTTTTTTTTGATCTTTCAAACCCATTTCCTACGAAATATCCTCACTATTTTTAGTTTCCGTCCTACAATAAGTCTTTCGTTTATATCAAAATTAATCGGGTTTTCCTCTACTGCTTTATGTAAAGATTTTATTTGTAAAGAATTTACTCTACCAGAATCCAATTTGGAGCCGATAGAAAAAATCGATGCGAAGGTTGTTTGGAGTCTTATGTGTTCACAGTCAACATGAGTCGATGCTGCTACTTCATCGTTCATCTGGATGTTCGTTCCTACAATGTGGCATTAAGTTCTTCAGTGACGGTTATATTTCGTAAATAATATCAGATTATTGTACATAAGTTTATATATATTATCAGGATAATTCTATTTCCACATATTTTCCATTGTTCTCATTGTCTTAGTTGGGACACGAGTGCTAAGGAAAATTATATATATGAAGGTCTGTCTTACTCAAGTAATTTTGCCGATCACCACGTGGTGTCTGACGCTTCGTGTATAGTTAAATTGCAATGTTACACCGGCAGGTGCTTGCTTAGCTTAATAAGCTGTAGTGTTAGAAGTTATAATATGTACAATATGTATTCGCATCTCATTGCCGTGCTCGTAGTTCTAGGTCCTGTACACTCATACTCACGAGACTTACGGTCTGAATAGAGTGTAGCATTAACATTTAGTAATATGTTGCTTTCACAAAGATGGACTGATCCAACTTTTAGATGGAATGCCTTTAGTATGATACACAAATATCTTTGGCAATCAGGTGCTTTGCTTTGTGGGTGTCTTGTTTGGTCCGGATTTATGGATTAGCCTCATTCCTAGCATGTCATTTTTTTCTTGAAGGATGACTGGTGTAGTACAGCAATTTATTTCAATAGTCAGGTAAGGTTTATTGAAGTAAACTGAGTATGGAGCAGCTGGTTATTTGTATTTTCAGAGGAATACACGTCGATAAAGTCTTTCGTTTCAGTGCAAAATACTTCGTTCAGTAACATTCCTTAAGTCTTGTGATGCAAAGTGGAGGGAGAAGAATCGAAGTGAGTGTAACGTCTCAATGAACGTGGAAATAGGGACTGAGAAATATATTATCCTGAAACAAAGGTATGCCATAAAATGAGTTTTATAAAGACGGTGAAGGAAGTGTTTATTAGTCTGTTTGCAATTATTGGATTGGACTCAACCCAATACTAGACTGATTTGCAATCTGTCGGATTTAGTAGTAACTTATGAATTATGTAGCGAGTAGGAGTTACTCTTTGTAAGAGCTCCAGCTTGTAGTATGCATTAAAGATAATGTGGAAGACCTATGTTTTGTGAATTGTGTATGTCACCCTCATAACGTTCGTTTTATGAATTTTTCCCCCTCAGTTTAAGCCTCATTCCTTCCAGACGCAGACTGCTATATTTAAGAAAGGGTATTTGAGTGTTCGGTGTCAAATGAGCCAATGTGTTGGTACCAGTCTGGTATTTTGTCATGGCTGGGGCCACGGGCTCGACGTTCATGACTTGCAGTAGTTGGACCAAACTTGTGCAAGGGGTTACTTCACTGCAGTCAGAAGCATGTTGGTTTTTTACAAACCTATTATCATCGACTCCGTCGGCGCGTATTCTGTGTGACAATATTGTTGGTGTAATAACTGCGGTTGCTATCGGATTGGATATATTCAGCTGCTTAAATAGTAACGCTCAAAATCGCGCTGGGTGTTTATCGTTTGCTTCCTGTCACGTTTGGACGTTACTGGATCCTCCGAACTGCTGCAAACTTAATACATCTAGCTCATTTGTAAGCCAACCATTCTTAAACAGCTTTTACATCCTTTAGAACGGTTTTGAAGTGATTATCACAAGAGTTGAGGAGGCTTAAATCTGCTCCTGTGTGTGTCAAATGGTTTTGCTACAGGGTAGTGTAAGTCGATTTGTATTAGTAAACAGTTCAATGTCGTTCACAGCATTTGGTTAAAGCACTTGAACCATATATGTGCCATTGTCATGCTAATTTAACAGCTGTCGGAAGATTGTTTTGTACTGGTTATGCATGAGTGCCTCTCCTAAGATGCTGGTCACTTAAATCACAAGCTTATATCCTTATATGGAATCTTTTATATATTACTACTATTGAAGTAACTACTATTTATTTGGTGTTCATCGTGTTATGCTAATGAGTTATGGCAACTTGAACTGATGCACACATGTGCCTGGTCCTACGTTGTAGCCGACTGACTGATCACGAGGCAATTGCCTGGTTTGCTGTGAGGAGCTGATGAAACGCCACTGAATCCCAAAATAACCATTTAGCAGACAGTTCACCGAATATCTCACAAATTGCCGTTCCTAGTCAAGGTCAAATGCAATCAGTGGTCGTCGATCAATTGCTTACCATGGACAGGTGCTTTGACGAGATTTTCAGTCGGGGTTTTGATGTGAAGTTTTATAGCGACAGGGTGGGCATCACTAAGTTTCATGGTAGCTTTCAACTGTTAGTCAACTGAGTCCGCTGCTGGATTGGTCGTGCTTGTCGTATCTTAGTGTAACCATCACATAGAGGCTTCCTAAACAAGGATTTCTTATTCGTATGTCACATAGAAAATTCGTTACAGTACATATGGCGGTGATTGTGTTCTGTTTCTTTTAACGAGTACTAATGAAACATTTCTGCAGTAATATGTATCTCTTCACACATGTCGAATGACGTCTATTGAAATTACATGCTATCAATTAACCTTTAATATTTTGATTGTGTAATTAGTAGTATCTTAGTTTTATGTACACTGAGTATAACTGAGTACTGAAGTTGTTGGTAGGGCTATTCAGCGATGTACTGTATGAATTTGGCTGACAGATTATATGGGTTAATCGTTTTCCCATCTAATTTTTTTCGTGAACCGACCCAAGTTAGATGATCGATTGAAACGAGATAGCACTGAAGTCATTGCCAGTTGAGTTGAACAGCTTCGTGTATTAGACAGTTACTCATTAAATACGATCGAAGATGGTGACGTGATATGGCGATAAGGTCGAAGTTAGACATATACACTGTTGGACTTCACCTCAGTGGTCTAAGGGCTGGATATCTGTGCACTAGACGTAATGTGCTGTGTCTGATTATGTGTCGGGATTCGGGGACCTCACTGACGAGGCCTTCTGTACGGGACGAAATACATCAAGTGATTTTGGGTGTCAATGTGTGTATAACGTAGGTTGGTTTTTGTTATCGAAAGCTATGATAATCTTTGTACTGATAGTCTGCATATTTTGACAGCTTATCAAGACAGATGATCTCAATATATATGTGACAGACAAAAAACTCGTGTTCTTAAAAGGTTTGATCAGTCAGTGGAAAAGGCCACTAGCTCTATCTTTTTGAAACCAAAAGATCAAGATATTTTCTGAGAAATAATAAAACATGCGTGATCCAAAACATTTTAATTTTCTAAAACTATAACTATCCAATGAATTTACAATTCATTTTAACTTCCAACACCATCCAAACATTTACTTTATGCTCTTCTTCAGATTATATTTCTTAGTCAATATGATTGTCAGATATTGCAATTTTGTAACGAACCTATCTTAGATTCACGTGTTTAAATCGGCGTGAGCCCGTATGGTAGTCAGTGATCTAGAAACAATAGTTCCAGGTAAAACTCAACATTTCGATCATTTGTCAGACAATCATACTTAGTGATAGTATTTATTTAGAACGCGCGTTCTAGATTCCAGTGCTAGGCACTTTCCATCTTTGCTTAAAAAGCTTGCGACTTAAGGCTATATCGAGGCCATCCGAACAGGATGCACATATGCCAACATGAGACTGATCAATTACAGTTCTAAATAACGATCGGAAGTAAAACAATAGCAAGTGAATTTAAACTTCACTCCATTGCACAACCAGGTGGCCATCAGAAATCAGTAGCCAAGTGACTATCGTGGTGGCGTTTGAAGCGAACGATACTGGCTTCGAGTCACGGAGTGAGTATCACTGCGATCCAGGTACATCCAACTGACAAGTACCAAATAGGACGAAGCGTGCGTTCTGGATTCTACTGTTAGACACTATCTATCTTTGCTTAAAAAGTTTGTGACTTAAGGCTATATCGAGTCAATCCGCTCAGAATACACATATACCAACATGAGACTGATCAATTGCAGTTTTAAATAAAACAACAATGGGAAGATACTATTAAAACAACACCAAGTGAATTTAAGTAAATTATGTTATTTTTTTATATTAAAAACATTGTTTCAGATATTCTAACCATTATTCATTTGTTTGTAGATAATTACCAAAGCAAATAATAGACACTAAGGGAGCATAACATATTGTTTCTTTCAAAAAGCAATAAAAATGTAGAACAAACAAGGGAATATAAATCTTATTATAAAATATAAGAATAAACAACTACATTGTCACCGATCAATATGAGACATAAAATACAATTATTTATTCGGAAGTTTTATTGAAAGTGTAGTAAAAAATGGGAAGGAATTCAGACGAAATGATAATTATTGAAAATTAGCTGTTACATTTCTGTTCAATATTCAATATTGAGTTAAAAAGAAAACTGATATGGAAATTATGAATGTTGAATTTACATACTGAGTATTGGGATACTCAAGTTTTGTATTGACTATGAGCATTTCGTTGTGATAGAAAACTTATTTAATTTCAATTGTAATTTTATATGTAGTACCATACATTTTGTTCCTTTAAGCATCTAAATCATATGTTACCTAAAAAACAAACAAGGAAACACAGTTACACTAAAATAAAGACAATAATTCTTATTATTATCAGAAGGGGTTTTGTGGGGAGTTTAGTAATTTCAGTAGTTAAAATCATGAGTCAATTGAAGCCAGACAATCATGGAAAACCTGGAAGCACTGGACGGCCGTTTCGTCCCAGTATGGGACCCCTCAGCAATGCACAATTCCCTGGATTGCTTAAAGTTAGATATTAACAGTGTTAAATGCCGGTTCACTGGTCTAATGTTAAAGCGCGAGACTGATAGGTCCTGGGGTTCGAATCTCGCAGGGGGCATGATCGTGGATGCGCGCTTCTGAGGAGTCCCATGCCAGGACAAAACGGCCTACCAGTGCCTCGATGTTTTCTATGGTTGTTTAGCTTCGATTGACTCATGATTTCAACTATTGAAATTATTATTATTCATTTTGTAGTTGTGCTCATTGATAAATAACAAATAATGTGAAGATCTAAAGTTTAATTTGGACAGTTAGTATTGAATAAATATTCTAAGTGTTTTTTTTGGCCAGACAATCCAATAACAGAGAGCATGAAAGATTTTGAACCGCAAATCCTTTGTGCCAAAATTCCTTCAAGGTTATCTAAATTTTTGTCTCCTCGCAACAGAAAAAGGTCATTATGATCAAAGTTTTCACTCTGACTAATGCGTTCCAATGACTGAATTGAATTAAATTGTGTTTGTATAAAAAAAATACAACGGAAAATTGTACTGAGTTGCTATTATATTTTCTACTACTCTTGGTCAATATTTCTCTCACAAAGCTGTTGACAACACATAAATAATCAAAAAATCAAATGGTCTAACTACGTAACTATATATAGACACAATATTTAGGCTACCATTACTAATTACACCCGTAGGTAGGCGAACAAATGCAACTGATTTACTTAGCGGTCATTTGTAGTTACGTTTAAAACTTATAAAGTTCAGTTGTCCAATTCCAACATAAAAATAGATAATATTATTTTACTGTGCAAATAAGCGCTGCGGAATATATGAAGACTGTCACAATTGACATCAACTGTTGTTTGTTCACACATGATTTTCATATTTGTTTAGAAATCATAATAACTGTAACTTGAATTTAACTTAAATGCTCAAGCAGTAATAAAAATAAAATCGTATGTTAAATACGTACCTTTAATAATCCTAACCGGATTAGAATTAATCTAACAAAATAAATACTAAATATAATGAACAGAATTAAAAGTGGTATGACAAAAAACAAGTATGTATACGAATTGGAATTTTGTTCTCCTTCAGAAAAATTGGGCGGAGTTGAAAAAGAAATCTGAAATGAGAAAAAAGCAATCAGTATGAAAAGTGCATTGTTGTTAAGGAATAAAATAGAAACCTTACAACCCTGTGAATGTATGTGAACTGTCAGAGCTCGGTAAAATATCACAGAGACTACACACTCATATGATGATCACCATACCAAACAATCATTCATTACATTGACTACAAGTTGATCGTTGAGTGCATCAACAATGCACAAGAATTCAACTACCTTACAAAACCCATATTGAACGGAACATCAATTCAATCATTCAGTGTTTTCATGAGTGAGACTACACTCTTGTTTGATTGAATAATCACAACAAATAAAACGCTTTCATTTATTCGATTCTAATTAAATTCACGTCAATAACTACACGTGGCAATAAATGTCTCATCGAGTGTGAAAACTGGCAACGTGAAACTATGAAGTATTGCAAACAAAGTGTCAAATTGAAAACTACTTACGTTATTCTCAGTCATGGTTTGTAGATCAGATTCTCTCAAACCCTTTGATGTTGAATTTCGCCTACATTGATTATGAGAATTATTCTGAAAAATGAAACAATGCATGCAATATGAAATGTCAAATGTGTACAATGAATTGCTTGTTCATTCGACATTGCTGTGAGTATCAGTAAACGAACAGAATTTATTAAAATGTAACGGCAACTATACATTCACATGGTGATCACCATACCAAACAATCATTCATTACATTGACTACAAGTTGATCGTTGAGTGCATCAACAATGAACATGAACTCAACTAACGTACAAGTCTCATATTGAATAGAACGTCCATTCCACTGTTCGCCAACGTCTAGATTTGTGGAATAGGAGTAAGTGAAGCGATGATCAATTCCTAGTGAGTATATGTGCCAACATAGACTGATTAGATACGGTCGTGTAAATCATCATCGCAAAATTACTGGACCTCACAGATTTCATAAACACACTTCACAATTTCCCCAGCCTCCACGATCACCACTAAAACGCAACATTTCTACACTTTTCAAAACTCATCATTGTTCACAATACTCCCTGTGGCTGATGTACACATGTGAGTGCCAAGGTATCCACATCGCTTGCGAATGGCTGCACAATCAATCAAGTGGTCAACTCAGATATATCATGCAAGTCATGTTTCACCGTTTGCTGCTATTTGTTCAGTGTTGTCATATATGAGATTACACTCGTATTTGATTAGATAATCGAAACGAATACAACACTTTCGTTTCATCGCTTCCAAACAAACGCCTGTCAACAAATACAAGTGGCAATAAATGTTTCATCGAATGTGAAAATTGTCAGTCTGAAACAAATGAGCATTAGAAACAAAGTGTCAAATTGAAAACTACTTACATTATTCTCAGTCGTGGTTTGTACAACAGATTCTCTCATTCCATTTGGTGTTAAATTTTGCGAACGATGAGGTTGGGAAATATTCTGAAAAATTAAACAATGCATGCAATATGAAATGTCAAATGTGTACAATGAATTGCTTGTTCATTCGACATTGCTGTGAGTATCAGTAAACGAACAGAATTTATTAAAATGTAACGGCAACTATACATTCACATGGTGATCACCATACCAAACAATCATTCATTACATTGACTACAAGTTGATCGTTGAGTGCATCAACAATGCACAAGAATTCAACTACCTTACAAAACCCATATTGAACGGAACATCAATTCAATCATTCAGTGTTTTCATGAGTGAGACTACACTCTTGTTTGATTGAATAATCACAACCAATACAACACTTTCATTTCATTGCTTCCAAATAAACGCCTGTCAATTTCTATTCGTATAAATCAAATTTTAGATTTGCAGTATCCATTTTCATTATTTAACTTATAATTATCTAAGCCATCCTTTCATGATTCAAAATCACCTACATTTGCATCGCAACCGTTCTTCATCCATATATCTGCATGATAATCACGGCCATTACTGCATTTTTCAATCATTGAACACCAGTAACACTGAGATTCATCTCTATTTGTATTTATGCATACATCTTTAGTATTTTGTACGTCGCAAACGTCTGCAAATAAAATGAGATGAGTGTGTTAGAATTTTTGTGACAAGAATCAAATTTTGTACGTTATGGTGAATTTAAACAGAAAATGTGATCCCGATTTATTTGTTGTACTCAGTTTATTCTTTATTTTTTAAAATTACTCAGACTTCACAATAGCTTATGTCAGTCAATTCATTTGGAGTTATCATTTGTCTTCGACTTCAACTAAGTATATGATGTAAGAAAAGTGTGCATTAAGTTCCATCAATTGTGAAACCTTTGCAAAAGTTTATTAGTACTTCGAAGAGACATGCTGTTACTAATGTTGGCAAACATTATTTACAGTTGATGATGTTGGTAAGCTGTGATATAAAGAGTTATTGTTTGTTTCAAAAGTTTAGGAAATCACATTCATCTGATTGTTTAAGAATTCTAGATTCGTGTGAGGTTAATATCATACTGCGAATTCGTAGCCATAGAATAACTCCATAATTAGTGTGAATATAACTTAAACAAATAACATTACGTTGAATGTCGAACATCCTTAATGCATTTGACAACCGAGTGTTTGACTTTTAATAATCATCCAAATTTAATGCATTATTGCTACTTCAGATTTAACTAGAGGAAACACATCATAACATGGTTAAAATTCCGTTGATTTCACATTTCCCCGTTTTGATGGTAGGTATGTGATTGAATTATCAGACATTCTGTAGTGTCACTTATTATGTTAAGCCCATATATCTTATTCTAGCTTTCGGACAGGCCAATCTATACATTCTACTTGAGTCACATTTTGACCTTGTTAATTATTCGCTTATCAACCTTGACTGTTTTATATGACCGCATACGTGCGTGCCCTTCTTATCCTATTCATAAAATGTCTTTAACTTATTTTTGTGTGACTACAAATATTGATTAACGATTGACTACATGGAGTTAGCTTATCCGCCATCTCCTTTGAGCGTCGTTTTGCTTCGCTCTATTCCATTTGCTTCTCCGATATTTTGTCTGGATCAAAGATTGTATGAAATATACGTATTCGAAATTCATTCTCGTATTTGAATTATTTAATTCCGTTATTGACTAACGCGATTTAAGTCGATGATTATATACGACGATAGGCGACATATATATTTCGATAACAATCATTCATACGATCTACTTGGAGTCAAATTGCAAAATATTAGTGATATAGCAGTTCATTTCAAGTGATATTGGCTTTCTCTTGAAGTTGTTTCTGTATGATTCCCAATGAGCATATTCTAGGTTTTTTGAGTAGTCACTTCACACACCAGATTGGATAAAGAAACGACACACTATAGTCCTTATGGAATATTTTATCCACATAGGGTTCAAGAGCATCTCAACAAACATGCTGTCAATAAATGAGCATGTCATTTACTCTGATGCCAAGTAATTATTATAGAAATTTCGAAATTCGTGTAACTACCTTGTGAATGGGATGGTATTCTCAGTTTCACAATTCATATCCTCATCATTAACTACATTTTACTTGGTACACTAGTTTCTTCAAGTATATAGACATCATGAAAATATCTGTCGAATTTGATATATGATATTTCCTTCAATGTGATTGGCTTCTATATACAGACTACAGAGTATTGATGACAAAGTACAGGTCTTTAGAGTCCAGTCTGTGATCCAGAATACTATGAAATACATCGAATGTTTCTATGATCACAACACCTCATAGAAATTCAATACTACACAAAATCAGTGAAAATTGAACAGAATTGGTCATTTTCGTAACATTATGGACTAGCTGCTAGTTGGTTAATTCATCCACCGTTTTGTAAGATTCCGATGATGTAAATCATATTGAAGTGAACCGTTCAACAACTGTGCAGGAAATCACAAAATGATTTTAAATATCCTAGAATGAGAAGAAATAATACTGCTACTAAACCAAAATAATGGATGCCATTTAGTCATCTGACATAATTACATAAATCAAATGAGTCTTATATAAAAGAGGTTAATGTGACTTGGGATCGATTATATCATGATATCAAACTCACCTGACATGGGTTCGAACTCCACTAATGTGCCATCTTCGATTAAGGACTCATGAGTTAATATGACACTGTATTCTTTTTTTATAGGAGTAGGGTGATCTAGTAATTATGAAAAAAACGTTCTGTTAAATTTTTGAATTCTGTCACTGAGATATTATTGTAATCATGTTCAAATCATCACAGATAAATTCACATTTTATATCAATAATCGTCTTTATTAATGTTTAAAGTATGCGGATTCAACAATACATTTTTGACAAGAATTTACATTTCTAAATTGTATGTCTAACACATAGTTTTGGATTAATTGATGAAACACTATTCGTTATCTAAACATGCTGTAGAAAAAGATTTTCCTGGACAGAGTTTGGGGTTTAAAAAAGACACAGTTAAATCAACATTATCTGACTACTGTATATTTTCTAACACTAGTGCCAAGATTCCGTTTCGTAAGACATGTATCTCTTAGCATGGATATGTAGTTTGGCTGAGATTAAACTGAGTTGTGAATAAATATCTTGAATAGTGAATATTATGTCCGATTGTCTATCTGACATGGCTATGACGATCAAATCAAATGTAAGAAAGATATGCAGGTGGCTGTCGGGCTACCATAAGTGAATGGAATATTCATATTTTCAAAAAGTTTTCCTGTTTGTTCTGATCTGGACTAAATCAATAATGTATATGTACAAAGATGTGTGTGTGTGTGTTCACGTCTTATGCATGTACTCATTCACCCACTTGCACTGCAGTTATCTACACGATCTCGATTATCTTATTCTCTTTGGTTGAGCATAAAGAAGAACTCAGACGAGAGAATGTGAAACTCTCTGATGACAATACATGACAACAGAATCCAACGAAGAAAATCAAATCGATATAGAGTTGATATCGTCAGAATAGCCCAAATTGTTTTTTTTTAAACAAAATGTTGACGATTATCGAATCAATCACATACTACCGTCCAGTTTGGTCCACTCAATTTAAGTTGTTCCATTTTGTGCTGTTATCAGTCGAATAAACAAACAGTGTCGTGGTACTTGCATGTTGGTTATGAATAAGCTACATCATTTCACGGTTGTTTAGAAATATGGCTCGTTGAATGTCGCACGAACTCACTCATCCATAGATCAAGAAAATAGACTTTGTTATCAGTTATCACAAATCTTCTTTAACTAGTCTGAATGTTTCTTACTGGAATGACTGCACCATAATCCATTGTTCATCATAGGCCATAACAAAATTTCTTTAATGTTATCAGGTATCTGAAAAGGAATTGTGGAAATTTGTGTCAGAGGCTGCAGACATACAATCTTAGATATTGAAATCAGTTCTACTGACAGAGCATTGAAATTACCTTTTCATTTGAAACAGAAACATCAACTAAAGATTCAGCAACATATAAATGAAATTACTTAACTTACAAAAGCTATCTAGTTAGAAAATGGAGACAGTGTTTTGAACGGAAAACAACCTAATCAACTATGTTTAACTAATTATGTATTGAAACGTAGTTGACATTTTGATCATTGAATAGCTCGAAAACTTTTAACAGAAGAATAATGCATGATTCATATAAATAGGAACACATCTGACATCCTGCATCAGTGTTTCATAATTACCATTAAATGTTCACTGATTCACAACTTGTAGCGTGACATCTTTGCTTCTAGAGATAATAGAATACTTCAAATTAGTATAAGGCGATTTTCATTACATTTCTATATTTTATTGTTTAAATCTACCATTAGTTCACTTGAGTGTGTTGTATTGGAAATCATATGTCATTGAAAGTGTTTATTTACTACAGAACTGATGATGTACTCAAATCATATGTAATGTATTTTGATAAGGATAACGATTTGTAATACAAAAGACATTAAGATAAACTGATGTACTTGAATTAACTTTATGGCTTATTCACTTATTAAACTGACCTTTTCATAGTAAAAGAAAATCTTCCCATTTCGATAAATATAACAATTTGCTTTAACTGTAATGTATACAAGCAAATTACTAAAGGTTCACATTATGAGTATGAAAATTCATGATTATGTGATTATGTTGAATGTAATACTCTATAGATTGTTTTTGAAATGATTACATGTCATAACAATTTTAGTGGTATGTTCCACTTATATTATGCTAGTAATATACCTAACCCGACAATTTTTATTACGTATTAATATATCAATTAAAACCAAATCCTATCAGACTTTGTAGTGAATCTATTAGTTGAAGTTATATTATCATTCGCTGAATATATTTCATACATATTTGTGAAATAATCATCAGTTATAAGCTATAACGTCTTTGACTGTGAAACTGGGTGATACGGGGTCAAATCAGTCAGGGAGCACCAGTTCCCTCAAGATTACAGTTACACCTTGCTGACGAGTGCCAAGTAGCACGAATCCCGGGTCCAGGGTTTCCTGTTGACTACCTGCAACCACCATTTTATCTGAACATAGTGCACGCAATTTTGAGTCACCTAGACTAGTCGCCACATTGCAACTTGGTCGATAGCATTCGATTTGCACTAAGAAGGACTTGACACACATAACATTGATCACCACCCAGTGATCAATCAATTGTGAATCAGTCATTACCGTACAAGATTATTCGGGTATTGTAATATGAACTATGATGTATTGCTTTGTCACATAGGACAGTCAAAAGGTCTCATTATACAAATATATACATTTTCCAATCGTGTAATTAACTCTATTGATATAATGAACATAAATGCTGTATACATAAATGGTTTTTTGACGCAAACATGTTTCCTTATGAAAATGGTGTTTTTGTGGTGTGGGTGATCAAACATAGAATGTATTTCAGCAGAAGATCGATAAGGAAAGAACAGAAGCGGAACACAGTTGATATGAAAATGCATGAACAATGAAATCTGAGACAATAGACTGATATTTACAAAAGGAATAGTGAAGTTAGAGACGATGGATTGATATTTCGCCAATTAACGATTTACTATATAGTTCTCAGATTTTAGTGAGATACTCTGTAATTTTGTATTAAATCCATTCGATTATCCACATTCGTGTTCTTGTTTACAGCATTTTTATCAAATCCCACTTCCAAATTCATGGTTTGATATATCTATAGTTAAGTAGTATATGCACCTAGAATTCAGATTCCTTTTTATTTACAATAAGCGATTTGAATGTTTCGTTGTTTTTGCTAAAGTTAACAAATGATGGTTTACTTCTATTAAGAGATAGTATGATTTCCTCATTTCTGTCAATTCGTATACAGAACAGAATAGTTTAAACGAATAAATCGAATGTAATTAAAATAACTGAATAAATATATTACAAAATTTATACATAATATGATTACCATTATATATCTCAGACACAAATTTGATAACGACGACTTTCTCTGAAGTAATGCAAATAGATTAAGTATATAAATGTATATGCACGAATGAATTTCACAAAGGGTTATTATTTTCACTATCGCATTCAAAAACAAAGCAACTGACTTCAACGAGGTAATTATAAAGTGTCGATCTGGTTGAATACCTGAGCTACCTGTTACTTCCATTTAGATATTTCAACAAGTTATCTCTTTTCTTGTCTGTGTTTAACACATCATTATGCCTATTAGTCTCGTAACTTATTCTGGTGCGTTTGTGAAAAATTTACGACATTCTGCTGTACAACTTACAAAAGAGAACAATCAGAGACATCCTGGATGCTGGCAATATGCATTGAAAAGAATATACATTATTCAGACGTTGATTCCTGGACTGCTAACATTTAACTAGCGACCATTCAATATTTATTGTAAGGATAGATCAAGAAATCAGAAAGGCAAACTTGTTGAAATACTTTATGCTGAGAATTCTGAATTGTACCAAAAATATAATATTAAATAAAGCCGCTAATGATAATAATAAAACTATTTCCTTAGTGTATTCATTGTATCAATTGAACCAAGCGATGATAAAGTTGTTATTCTGGTATGCCGATCCTAGAATTTAAAGATCAAATGACACCCGCTAGCATCTGGAAAATAATAAAGCCTAATAGTTCTCTCAAAACAGGCTGTATTAAGTTTTCGTTGAAGTACAGTTTGGATACATTTACTTTAGTTTTGCAGGACCTTCAGATTGTCAAAATACAGTTAGTTACCAATTTTTCCAGAAAAGTTATGTTAATTATCTGAGACTCATTACTGTCGACTGAAATGACGTTAAAAAATACTTCGAATTGAGATAGCAATCAAAGTGTATTGGATTAGGTAAACCACATAGGACCAATGAACCAATCTTTATCATTTAATAATTCCCTGATTTAGAAGAAACAAGGCATCACGTTTCATACACATACGAGTATGGTTACCGAAGGAAGTGTCGAATATCTAATGGTTGATAGATAGTCGATACGTTACCGCAACTCAAAAACTACATTGGTGAATGAGCTAAGTAAAAAAACAAACAATGTTATTGATCAAATCTTCACTTTTCATCACTAATAAAAACCAACTCTCTACATGAACCCAACCTATAGTGACTCACTGATCTGTGATCACTTAAATTCCCCACATTAATCTGGAAGTGATGTTATAGTAAAATAGCTTATGTCCTGTGACTACGAAATATGTAACTTTAAAATTGATAATAAAGTGGTTCGATCTTTTTATTGCCTTACATCATGTAGTTTCTGATTATTTCAAAGTTAATATCTGCCCTATTTTACATTTTACGTAATAGAAATAATTAGCAATCAACTTAAATCGATCCTAATTTACACAAGAAGGTTGAAGAAAACGAAATAATTCCTAATGTTCTAACGGTTTTATTGTATTTGCAAACTCAGGTATTTTAATTCAACATGTTAAATATATTTTTAAAAAATGGAAATCACTCACCGTTATTTCCAATCTCTACTTGAAATCTCGTATCGCCATGAATTAAAAGCATTGTGATGAACCCAATCTTTGAGTATTCATCATTTGAATGTTTTAAAGTCATGAAGCCTTTTTAATAAAGAAAACAAGATAAATATCAAATGGGTTTTGTGGACATTATAGTAATTTCAATAGTTAAGATCATGAATCAGCTGAAGCTAGACCACCATGGAAAATCTGGAAGCACTGGAAGGACGTTTCCAGGTTTTTCATAGTGGTCTAACTTCAATTGACTCATGATCTTAACCATTGAAAACAAGATCAATTGATTTTTATAATTTTGTAAATGATGGACAAATTTTCAAATGTTTATAAACTAAGTTGAATTGTAACCATATTGTTATGAAATCTGAAACTATAAACAACTTTTAATAGAATCAGAGATGTCAAACACATAGAATGAAATTGATTATATGAACCTACATGTAAATAGCCAAATTGATTAATTGAAATCAATTTACTTACCATCAATTCCTATAAAGATATTGTCATAGGGCATACCATAAAATTTGATTATGAAGGATGGTTTGAAAATCTAAAATCATATCCATATTGATATTATACTCTTGTTAAAATCTATGTATATCACTTACTTCAGCATAATCATTGATTTGACGAAAAGTTACATCAACAATTGGAAGAGGTTGGTTATAACGTATTACTTGTGAGTAATAATAATGATCAAACTATTGATGTGTATAGACAATACTACTATTTTCCTACCTTTGAATATGTTTCACTGCACACAATCGTTTTTTGATCATTATTAGATTTGAAATTTAGTTTATCACAAGATATAAGATCTCCATAAATTTTCAATAGTGAATTATTAACCAAATAGATAATCACTAGTAAACTTAAAAGCATTTTCTATCTACAATAAACGTAATGAATATATATATATATATATATATATATATATATATATATATATATATATATATACATATATAAAAGTGAACTATATAGTAACTTGGATGAACTATATATTGATCATTAAATAACTTGAATATTTAGTTGAATAACGACGACAACAACGACGACAATAAGAACAACAACACCAAAAACTATTGATCATCTAATTCTAATTAGATAACTATGCAAAGTAACCTTCTTTAATTAGCGTATAAATAAAACATTAAAAAAAAATATATCCAGTAAGATTCATGAAAAATTTTAAAAAAAAGATGAAAAACAGATCTGAGTGAAACTGAGAAGTTAACAAAAAGAATCTTACAGAGAGAAAATATTTCAAAATGTGGAATAAGGTTAAAAGAACAACTGAAAAACAACATTTCAGTAGTTGAAATCATAAGTCAATTGAAGCTAGACCACCATGGAAAACCTGGAAGCACTGGATGGTCATTTCGTCCTATTGTGGGGCACCTCAGCAGTGCGTTTATTCAAGACCACGCCTCGCGTGATTCGAACACAGGACCTATGAGTCTTGCGCGTGAGCGCTTAACCACGAGACAAATGAGCCGGCCAGCATCTAATGGTGTTAATGTCTAACTTCAACTAATCCACAAAATTGAGTGACACATCCACAATTGTCATCATTAAGGGAGGTCATACAAATGTCAAATCATGCTATCCCACGTTGATGTTGTAGAAGGTTCTGTCAGGTTGTAATTGTACGGAGTCTCTCCGGTTTGTTTGTAGCCTCAGAAGGCTTCATCTTGTTTTTTTGAGGCCATCTGATAAAGCTCCAATACTTATAAGTCAACTGTTTGATTAGTACACTTGATTTCACTTACCTCAAAAAACAATGAGGTCTTCATTTTACTGTTTCATTTGTTACAGTTACTGACTATTTTTTATTCACACAACAGAACAAAGAAAAAATCCCGTGTAGGTCATTGGGTCTCTTTTCAACGCTAATTCAGTCCAGTTTTGCTTGACAATCTGTTGGTGAACAGTTAAAGTAAACTGTACAACCATAAGAGGTAAGTGTAAGGTGTTAAGACTAGAGTGAAGTACTCACAATGAATTATTGTCAAATGATGGACGATTTGGAAAACCACTGTAGTTAATTAATAATTTATTTATTTAATAATAATAATAATAGTTCAAAGGGTACTGAAATTTTCAATAATCCATGAACTTGTTAAAGTGTTCCATCTACCTGTCTAAAAAGTTATTCAGTATGAAATGAAAAATAAACTATTCAATGTATGCTCTACATTTATGTTGTTTTAGTTGATACTTAGTCTTGGCGGCAGCCATATTGGTTTGTTCCTCCTTTTGATTGTGTTGCTTATATTGACTGGAATTGTGCACTTTTGATTGTGAATTGAAGCAATCTTCCAGAACTGAAAACACTCTATGTTTTAACGCAATCAAATATTATCTTTCGAACGAATCCGTACGCGATCAATCCAGAAAGGATAAAAAAGCGTTTACTTGTTGTGTTTGGTAATTCTCTTACATTTTTTAACAACTTGTTTGCTTATTGTAATTTAGATTTGATTACTGCTTGAACAGTTATTGGTTGAGTAACAGGGTGGTAATATTTGTTTAGGTAATAATGTACATTTATATTTATAATAAAATCTAGAACCGTCATTCACCTCATTAACTTGTTTTGGTTTCAACTGGGTAATAGAGCGTGTCTAAATTACCCAGACAGTTGTTCGTCAATCCAAACCTTAGTTTAAATTTTACATTCAATACTATCCTCACTCTTAATCTCCCCAAAAACACTCTTGATTATGATCAAGTCGACCATTCATCATATATTTGTCGTATAATAACGTGAGTCAAGTTATTAATGATCACAATGGAGAGAAAGGTGAAACTAGCACCAAGACTATGTGTAGCAAGATACAAAATTGGAGTTGTTATCATTCGATCGTGTAACTAAACTTCATTTACCTTTAGTATTTCTCTCCTCACTAGTTGTGAGTTATACCAGTGACAAACACAAAGATAACACATGAATTCTCGAATGTTCCAAGCTTTCCTGTGCAGTTCCTATTTTTTCAGTTTGTTGGACATCGTAGGCAGTTTGCAAAGATATTGTGAATACGTGACTAAATTAGATCAGATGCTTAGGAACGTCACTTCAGTCTGATTCACATCCATTTTACCAGAAATATCGTATTACACTTTTTAGTCCACAGGATAATCATATTCCACATGTCTCTCTCATCAGCTATGTTCACGTTGCTGAAGCAAGTTATATTTTGTACAGCGAAGTAACCTCTATTTATCAAGTGAGAAGTTTCATCAATTATGTGGAAATGTACCTTTTTTCGCTGTATTCCGCTATATAAAGAATAGGTATCATTGACTGTTTGATATATAGATAGTGAAATAAGTTTCGCTTAACTGTTATTTGCACTGTTACATTGATTTACTATCGAACTCGTCATATTATTGTTGGCTAACAAGGAATGGATCTCACCATGTGACACTTTGACACATTAGGTAAATTAAGTGTTCCCACCGTATAAAAAGCAGCATAAAATGAGAAAATTATTTTCCTGAATTTCATCATAAGAGAATAGATTAGAACTGTAATAGAAAATATACGTAAAGCAGATGTACGTGTTTTTATACAGTATTCAGTAGGTACTTTAGATGAAAGTGTAAACTGTTGTGTTCATGTCAAAATGATAATGACAGATTGCTGTATCGAATGAGGTGTGAACGTGATGATCCGCACCTATGGGTCCTAGTACTGAACTGAGTTCACTTCTGTAGATAAAGAGATGGTGAAAGGAGAATATCCAGATGTCATGTTATCAACATGTGAATTCATGTTAGCTACTAATCCGTGATATTTGATTACTGATGGTTGGTCTTACAAATATGACGACTTTATTGAATCTGGTCCGAGCTTAACACAGAGTTTCGTCATATCCAACAGAAGACGTCTTTCTGCAATTAGACATGGATACAGAATCAAGAGTCATATCCTTGAAAGTAACCCATTCTGTTTCGGATCACTTCACGATATGATTGCATTCTTTGCTCCTATAGACTCACATATTTGTCAAACAAACATAGATATAAATGGGCGGCTTAAGCAAAAGATTTCCTTGACAATAAACATTCCTCGTTGAATTCCATTTATTCTCGGTCAATACAGGTACTTGGATTGAATAAATTTTGGTTGTCAATAATAATCACTTGGAAGATCAAAGGTTCATCCATAGTTGCTTATACCGGAGTCCATTCTATTTGATTACATACATACACCATTAGAAAACAACACATACTGATTGAAAACCTCGATATCAGGCTAACGCCATACAAGTGCATCATGTGTTCCGTGCCTAATTAGGTGGATGTGCCTATCACTGTATCACTGTTAATATTTGTACAAACAATTTAGGTCAAGAAAATATTTGTTAGTGACACTATCAGATGGTTTACATCAGTGTGCTAGAAGTAAAATTTGACACATCTTAAATGTTGTAGAAAGAAAATAAAATTGATCACTCTATGTATAAGTGAAATGGCCAATTACACTGACCTGTAGATTTCGCAAAATATCTTGTTATAATTGTGAATTTTCCTATGCTACACTGTTGCTCTTTATGTAAATCCACCTCTTCCGTTTCATAAATTTCAACGTAAACTTGATGAACACATTTGCTCAATTCGTTAACCGCTATATGTACATACATATATGCTTAATTAAGATGCGTTTGAAAGGTATGGGTGCTGACATTGTTATCATTTGTCCAAAAACGTTATGTTACTAATATGGCAAGCCAATCAGGTTTAGCCTTCTGGGAAGATCAAGCAGTAGTAATGAAATTTCACCTGAAAGTATATATATATATATATATATATATATATATATATATATATATATATATATATATATATATATATATATATACTTTTCTTGCTAATTTTGCATACATTGTCGTCCACTATTGTTCTCGGTCGAATAATTATTTTCGGGTTGGCGCGTAGCACATCGTGTACCACTTTCAGATTTCAAACACCCCTCATCACGACAGTACCTGGTGACAACGACAAAAGATTAATCAACTTATATTAACCAATCGATGAGAATCGTGTCGTTATGACAGTATCATTCGAGGCAGAATTAAAACCTGTTTATTCAGGTGCGATCTACGTTTTACCAGTAATGATGAATATGATTCGGGATGTTATGCTAATGGATTATGAAAGTCAGCAGATCTAGAAGTACTTGGATGATGGTTGACTAAACAAAGTCTATAATGATTTAATATAGCACTTTCGACGACGCAATTTGTTTGGGTAACGCCTTGTTATTCTGACCACTCTTGAATCTCAGGTAGTTAAACAACTCCTTTCTGGTACAGCGTATGAAGTCATTGACATGCAGCTACACATATAGACTGTCGATTTATAAGAACATTGAAATCATCGTGAGGAAATTTCCACACAGTGCACAAGCCGCAGAAATGGAAGTACAGCCATCGCCGTGTCCAGGTGCCATAGAGCCGAGATTTCGTGTCAATGTCAAATCTTGAACTTCTGCTTGAAGAACGCAGTCAGACATATTCCATCGCCATACTTCCATCCGCAGTCAAACTATCAAGGTGAGCGTCATGTCGATGCCTTAAAGCTATCCCTTATGAAATCGCAAGGGAAGTGCACAATGGAGGAGGTCATCCAGAATTTCGTGAGAGCACGTGAAATAACCCCAAGTATGGCCTCACCTAACAGTGCCTTCTCAGCTCAGTCAATTTTCAAAACGAAGACTCGGAATTCCTTTGATATCATGTAGCCATAATGAAGAAGACGAGATCATCAACCCAAGGTACTGAGAATTGTAGGTTGGTTTTCTAATGAGTTACCAGTGTATGTAAGAAATGTTTGACAATGTTGGCCTACTTGGGTAACGTATGTCATTGTAAAAAGAGTAGGTGACGATTTGTTCAAAATTTATTTGTGATGTAAATAACTAACACAACATATAAACCATATCCGCTATAGGTGACTGTATTCGGATAAAGAACCATCTGAATCGAATTTGTAACTAGATTATTTAGTTGAAACGGCCTGTTTCAAACGACCAAGTTAGCGCAGAAGAGGTCATGCTCAGACACCAGACCCGACTTAACAGTCAACAAACTGACCCTTACTAGGGACGCTGTCATGCGGTATACGTCGGTGTTCTGGAAACAAACTTCAGTATGTGAATATACATATTAGATACAAGATAAACTGAACAAACTTGATTATGTTTACGTATAATTGTGATAGGAAATTGCACTGAGATGCGGGTTCCTCGAGTAAATTTGTGATTGGTGGAAAATTCCCCGAGTTTCATCATTTGTCTATCCAAATTCATTTCTCCCGTTTTCAAATTTTAACATAAAGTCGATGAACACATTTACGGATTTTGTCAATCGCACTATATATATATATATATATATATATATATATATATATATATACGTGGTATAACTTTTTTTCTCATTTTATGTATTATTACTTTTTATAGCCGAATTCTAAGCAGATGGACTTCACTTACTTTTTTTCGATATCTGTGCGTATGTATTGTCGATTGTTAGGTTTTCCACGGATCTCTTAGCTATAAAGTACTCATTCAGGAAGTTGAATTTGTTAATTCTGGTAGTTTGATCAATTGTGGTAATTTATTTTACTTGTTTTGCTAGCCTGGATAAAGTCGCAATTCGTCATGTCAACTATTTAAGTGCAGGGAACTGCGTAGAAATCTTGGACGAATACTACTATAGGTTGTACAGTGGTCTTGATCCTTATTGTTGGCAGACCATGTAGTTGGGAAAAGTAACGGCTACGTGAAACAAGAAAGTGAATTCCATTGATTTGAAGCTTGTTTATTTGCTTATTTGCAAACCGATGTATGCTCAACATTCAGTACGACTAACTTTTTGAATTACTCATATTATTGTGTTGATATTTGATATACTCAGGGATACTGAGTGTGCACAATTTGAAAGAAATTATGTAAACCGATTTATTATGAGGTTGTGCAGACCATTGAATATCAGTGAAACCATGAACAATTCAATATGAGACGATCACTGTAAAACCGTAAGCTTTGAATGACTTTTGTGTTCGAGCATCGGGTATCTCATGAATGCTGATTCACGATACCTCTTGCGAAGTTAAAACCAAGGAAGTTCGGTCCCTTACGCAAACGCATAATCTCTAGAACACTAATCCGGTATCTAACGATTAAAATGCCTGACATAAAACAACCCACGACGGAATGCAACAATCGTCCAATAACGTTGGTGTGGATAGTTCTCACACAACACATGATTGAAATTCAATGATAACGGCATCTCAAAGGAATGGCATGAAATTTTTAAAGAATGAATGGTGACAATAATGTGAGACAAAAGGTCAAAGGTCAAAGAATTCAGTCTGACTGCCTCAGAAGTTCTATCATCAATTCTAAGTTCAAATTTGACAAGAAACGTGAACACTAGTTAACGCAAAGATGAAGATATAAACAGAAGGAAGTTCTAGTCAACGAAACAAGCTGTGAGATTAGTAGTAAAGAACACTTATAACTCCATAACAAAATCATTCTTGACATCGCAACGAAATTTTCGGTAGAGTAAAGAGCATTTGTACAGAATAAAAGAAAAGTCAAAACAATGTGCTAAAACTCTGCTTGGCGTAAACAGTAATGGTTAAATTATTGGGACAAATGACATTACAGTAAAATTACCAACGTCACCAGTAGTATCAGAAGACATTAGGCACACAGAATAAGAATCGAGACGAAATGAAATTGTTGAAAATGAATGCCTGTAGTCGATGAAAAAGCGTGGATGCGCCTGCGGCAGGGCGACTAATTTGAGTAATAACATCCATTATCTGCTAGATCCAAACTAAGGTTTGGACTGAAAAATAGTTGTCTGTGTAGGTCAGATACGCGCCCTCGCCCTGTTGAAACCAAAACAAAGCGATTGGGTAAAATAACGGTTCTAAACAAACATGATCACCCATCTATTCAACCAATAATTGTTTAACTAATTAAATCAGTCACAACCAACAAGTGTTATTCTATCCTGTCTAGATAGACCACGCACAGATTCGTTCAAAAGATAATATTTGGTTGCTTTATAATAATTCCATTTCTGCAAGATTGCTTCAATTCACAATCAAAAGTGCACAATTCCAGTCAATATAAGCAACACAATCAAAAGGAGGAACAAACCAATATGGCTGCCGCCAAGACTAAGTATCAACTAAAACAACATAAATGCAGTTCAGGAAGAAACACGAAAACTCAGTGAAGGCGTAAGAAAAATAAAAAGTATAATAAAATACAAATATTACCAACTCAGATGGAATCAAAAAGACTAACAAAATGCGCAACTAAAAGAATCAGTAGGAACAAACTGTAAGTGTATACATGGGGGAATTTTCACACTCAAAACATACGAAATGGATCTTACACTATCTACAACCATTATTACGATAGTTGGAAAACTTGTCGATCAAGTAGTGTGCGCCTACCTTAATGACTTTATGTAGTGATTGCTCACGTTGTTTTATTTGCCCACACTCCACGTCCGAATTCATCCTGCATCGGCAGACACCAACCGTCGAATGAAAGGAAAATGAGCATACAAACCCGTGAGATTTGTATGCAATAATGATTCCTTTTTATCTATTACTTTACGCTTTTGGGGATTCCAAATACAATATGATCCCTTGGGCTCAGTATTTTTTATCTGATTTATGTTGGAAATGCGTGTAACAGCCCTAAATAATCAAGACGAATTTCCGTCAACTACTGAACAATCGGAAAATCGCTATTCAGCGAACAATAGCAATACAAGGAACACAATAATTTTATAGAGTCTATGGATCTGTTAAAGCATTCAGTCCGACTGTCTGAGAAGTTCTGTCATCAATTTTGACTCAGAATTTGACCAAGAAAGGGAATACTAGTCAACGAAACATGTTGTGAGTTTTGTAGAAAAAACCATCAAGATTTTTGCCTAACGTAAACCGCGATTTTTTTGAGTGAGAGAGGTTTGGCGCTCAAATATTCTCATTGTTATTCAGTGACGTGGAAAACTGAGGAGTTGTTGATTTGCTTCGTTTTGCATTATATGGTGAACGTGAAGCGAGTTATCATTCGTCTAATAAAGTGAACATTTAATCTTTCAGCACAGAAATGTAGTTGTTCAACAAAGTACCAAAGCAATTAACTGTCTTATTGATGATATTTCAATCACAATAACGAGTTATGGGCTAGTTCTTGTTCACCTGACCCAGTTGAACGCATAGTGATGATTAGCATGTTTTTTATAATCTTCTTTTGTATCCAGATTATCGCCGGCCAGTCAAAACACTACTGCTTTAGATATGATGTAAATGAGCTTACAGAGTACAATGGCGTGTGATCAATGTGGTGAAAAAATTTCCTGACATTTCTTGTGAGGACAAACGGAGGATCCTCGACACAATGCCATTATCTTACCATAGGTTACCCAGGTGGTTAATACTCGATTACAAAATAGCAACTGGTGGTTTTGATAGCTACGCGTTATATTTTCATCCCATCTGCGACCGATTATCTGGGAATAAGTTGTCGGAAAGTTCGAAAATCACGATCAAATGACCTACGTCTAGAGTTTAGTTTATTATGGGGAGTATTTGGTTACTGGATTACTTTAATAGTAAACTATAGTCAACATCTCTTTCAGCAGGCTGAAAAGTAAACCCAGTTAGCAGGACTAAAACAGTTCACTTTACCTTATATCCTTACCTCTGAATGACGTGACCACGCCTACAAAGCTGAGCTATGCAATCCGATCAATAGCAATTAACTCAGTGCCTTACCCATCGTCGGGTTTTTCTCCCCGTTAAATGTTGAACATCTATTTTCCCATATGTCTGGTGTTCAGCATTGAGGATTGTGTGGTTAAGACCCAGTGCCAATACACTGCTTTCACACCAAAATCAACGTGATGTTGGTTCGATACCAAATTGGATGGTACTGTCGCGCGCCGGAGGTTACCAAGACTAATAGGAATCCTCCGTGTATTGATAAGCTGAAAAATAAATGACACGCTCAAAATGAAAATTTGGATGAAGATTATTTGGGTTAAAAATGGGATAGTAGTAATAGATTGATTCCGTGTAAGGGTTTTTTATTAAGTCGACACAAGATGCATAGTAGTAGCCGTTGGTTAATATCTTAACGTTTAGGTAGTACATGTTTTGTGTTTAGATATATAAAAAACAAGCAATATTGTAGAAACGTTAATAATGGTATTATCTGTGGTCTAATTTTCTAAGTCAAACATCTATTTTTCCAAAATTCTCGTGTTCAGCATTGAGGATTGTGCGGTTAAGGTCCAATGCCACTACAGATGACAAATTAAAGGTCCATTATGTACTTTGATTTCACTCATGCTTACTGAGACTATTCTGGTCATCTCCCTTCAGTCACTTCTTCCACGAATAATTTTATTTGCTTTATATTTTTATGAAATCAGATGCATTAACATACTTTCATATAATATAGAATTATCTACCACAACGCAGGTTTAAAAAAGAATCATATAAAGGCCATATTAGATGTTTTTGCTCAGAATCACATCGACCTGGCGCTGAAATATACACATGATATCGGGATTCTAAAATAGTAATTAACCGAGTTCATGAATTCTTAAAATGTGTAGATATATTTACCCGTTCCTTGAAAACCTGGCGCAATATTTAAATGGAGCGGCTTTCATCCCCCTTTTTTTATATTCCAAGGTATGTTTATCCTTAGAATAAAATAAATTTAGATAAACACCATGTTCTAGGTAACAAAAGCAGTGCCTGAAGTTTTCACGTTTTTTAGTTGACGTTAGTAGTATCGCTGACTTTAGGTATGCATTTTCGTAGTTAGAACCAAATAACTTACTGTTTACTTAATGATTTCCACTTGTTTGTATTCTTTATGAATATCTGTTGGTTGTTTGCCACAAGCTTTTTAGTAAGATTGTATGAACTTTTATGTGTCTTATAAGTACGTCAGTTGTTCTAACAATCTGTAAATTAGTTTACACAAATGTGTCTACAGATTTCGCTCCACATAGCCGATATAAGGGGGAAGGGAATAGACACTTTTTCCTTGTCCGCGCCGTCACCCTCTTTTTCCATTTGCTTGGGTTGTTTAGTGAGTCTGTTAGTTGTTACTAATAGGTATCGGTTTACTTTAAATGTAACATTACTCATTTCGGTATATTATCAGCTACTAGTATCTATTTAGAAGTTAATCATCGCTTAGCATATGGTTGACTGGCGATTATGAAATTAAAGCTTAGTTGTATCTTTGGAGTATGGTTTTGGGTTAGGCTTTCTCTTTCACTTACTAAAAACTAAAAACCTCACTCGGTATATAGGACGTGGTTGGGTGTTTGACTGCGCTAGGAAGTACAATAAATACATCGATTATCGGTGGATATGATTTGCCTTATTTCAGGGTTTTATCCTCGTAATTTTTCAAATCGAATTGTTTTCGTTGTTCTCGGCTGATATTCGATGAATAATCATACCCTGATGTTAAAGATATCAGGAAATTTCTTAAAAACGGTTTCATCCATCCTATCTTCCCTACGCTAAATCCACTGTCATCAAATATTTTTCGCCGTAAGTCTCATTTACTGCCCTTGAGTTGTATTTTTGTATTTGAATTCCCATTATAATTGAACCCGTTTCCCCTCCCCTTATCATACTGATTTCATACCTCACTGCTGATTAGGTGTAGGAACTTAAATCGGCCCACATATGTCCCAGATTCTACGTTGCATATAAATGACCAATTTCAAAAAACTTTAGGGGAGAAGTTAAATCGTCGGTTGCTTACAGTTGTGTTACTTAATTGTCTTTGATGGATAACCTGTTAAATACATTTATCAAGTAATGAAACTGTTAATTCTACCGAGTATTTTTTTTCTACCATTTTATTTTCAAGGCTGCTCACTAGTAAGTGTGCGATGAATCGCAGGTCAATGAATAATTGTATTTCAAGTCTATGTTATTTGTTACATGAAATTCCACTTCATGGTTTTCATAAGTTAATATCCACTGAAGAAATGGATTTATGATACTTGAAAAGTATGTGATCAATGGAGTGAAAAGAGTTACTGTCATTATGGTAAAAAAGAACTGTGTGTCATAATCAAAAACCATTATTAGAAATAACCTTCAGCGTTAATAATCGTAACAACGGAACCATGCAATAGAACCATTGGAAGAAATGGGTAAACCAAATAAATCATAAACTTTGGCTATGATAAAATGCAAAAGACCTACCAAACCGTTTCCACATGCTAAATCGGGGTTTCATGTTGTGAAAAGCTTAAGTTTCTCAGTTTGACGTAGGCTTAGGAGAAGATCTTTCTGAATGTTTGACTGGATCTTGCAAATGATTTCGTAGGACGAACCTAAAGTTGAATTTCTTGCGTCCACTGCATGTTCCAGAATAATAATCATAACTTATCTACATTGTCCTTTACTAAGCTATTCCGAAAGACACTATCGAATATGGCAAGGAAGCGGCCTCGAAGATCGGATTACATAGCTCCACAGGACATAAACTGGTCTATAAACTTGGAATCGATTAGTCATAACAAATAAATAAGCATCTTTAGTAGGTTGCGCGAAGATTTGCTGAGTTAATTGTTTTTTGAGTCGATTTCGCCGAACGTTTATCAAGTATATTATGAGCCGTATTTTTTTGAATGCAAGATTTACACACAATTATAATAAAAGCCCTTAACTCAATAACACACCTACAAAACTTCAAACACTCATCGTGAATCGTGCTTACTGGGAGATCTAATAATGAGACTTGGTTGGTCCATTGAAATGTATACAGTAACATTTGTGTCTTTAACCTGGTGGTCGATGTTCATGGTACCCTCAGGATATAGTACAAAAATGACTAAACTATCTGGTTGCCCAAACCAGATGATACCGTAGTACCTCTTGGTTGGTAGGTTGGAATACTTAGTTATAAAACTGTTGGTTTTATCTAAAGAACTACATTTTTAAGTTCTTTCTTAAACTTCGAAAGTGTCCTAAGATTGAAAGGTTCATCGACTGAAGTGTTCTTCATAAACAATCAATGGTGATGGGTGCACTCTTTTTCAGTACTATAAGACATTTGAAAGAGTCATATTCAATGGATGTATTCATATTCTTAGGATAAAAACTCTAGCTCTTTATGAATATATCACTTTTCAGATGCGGCCATATTTCACTATTTCTGAGTGAGCTGCATCCATGAAAATGCTGTTTGAACGTTTTAATTGGAAGTCCAACGAACTTTGCTTAGACATTTTAATGTTTACGATTCAGATCCGTATTTATCTACTTTCAAATAATCGCCTGTCTGTTGAGTTATATTTGTTTACGTTTTGCTATCGTAAAGCTTTTCAACCCAGATCAGCAGATATTTTTTGTTGTTTTATATAATTCTGTTCGTTTGAGTTGTTTTTTAATTGGTCTACGTAATAACAAGGTAATATGATTCGTAAGGCACATGCTTTAATGTTATCCTCAAACTTCGTGGTGAATGATCTTGACGCATATATATTGGCGCTCTCTTGTACCAATATTTATGTGTTCAAATAAATAAATAAATAATAATCTTGACACCCCCAAGTGACTATCTTTGTAGGAAAAAAGTTGAAAAGCCCCCAAATTATCTCTTGCAGTTCTCCACTGTTCATGAGGATAGAGGACTAGCTTTCCTCACCTCTAACAATTTTTGACCCTTAGTATTTGGACTGTATATAAATTTACTTAACATTGGTCACCAAATGGTCTACATGGTGTATATGCAGTTTAGATTGGAAATTTACCTGAATTTATAGCCATGAATTAGTTTAGGGGGCAAAAAACAGGTTTAACACATTTTTCTAGACAGTACGCTTAGTGAAAGGAATGTTGGGAGAGGTATAAAATTTCATAATATTGTCCGTAATTCTTTCAATACTTATCGTAATTAATCAGTAAGTCATTAGATATGTTGAATTCTGTGTTGTAGTATCGTGGTAACATGAAGATAATGAATTGCTTATATTATCAATGGAAGTATTTATCACCAAAACATAAGAAAATGTCTTGGTCAAGTTATTTTCCTGTTAGTTTCATGAACTAAATGAAATGAATGTCTTTGTATACCAAGTTGAACATGGTGGTGAATAGATATCTCGTTAATATTATTAGCTGCTTATTATTAGTGTATAGCGTTGGAATTATTTAATATTCTTACAGTGACAGTGTCTTAATTTCTTCAAGAGTTAAAGTTTCGAGTCGCGTTCTATCTCATTTTCTTTTGGAATGCTGGATATTATTATCAACCTTTAAACAAAAAGTGCGATCTGAATCTCCTGGTATTTGAATCTGTTGGTTGGTCAATCACATTGATAACTAATTTGAGGTGAATTTTGATACAAAAGTTATATGAATAAATATATGCCTCTTGATAGAGATCGCTGAAGTAGTGGGATGATTAGTCTTGAACATATCTTCATTTTTTACCATTTCTTTTTGTAAATCTGAAGTAGGATTCTTTTGCTTGTGTCATCTATTTGTCCCGTAGTTTCAGTTCTTTGGCTCTAGTTCTCTATTGCACATTGTTCTCTTTAGTTATTTTATAATAATTCTGAGAAGCGTAGCAATCTGAATTAATCCAATCCACCCATAGACTATTTTATTTCACTTGTTTGGTGTTGATGATTTAACTATCTGTTATTTATATTCTAAGTTTTTTTTTATCAACATTGGCTTATTATTTCCGTTATTCTAGTGCTTGCTAAATATTTGAAAATCCAGTCACTTGTAGGCTTACATGCCTAACAGAATTATCATTTCGTTATGACGTCTACAAGTAGTGATATTGTTCCAGTTGGCACAATAATCAAAGAAAGATGGAGAGTTTACACTAAAATTGGTGGCGGTGGTTTTGGTGAAATCTATGAAGCTGTTGATATGATCAATCAACAAAAGGTTGCTGTGAAAGTTGAGTCGGCACAACAACCGAAACAAGTATTAAAAATGGAAGTTGCTGTACTTAAACGATTACAAGGACGTGCACACACATGTCGTTTTATCGGTTGTGGTAGAAATGAACAGTTTAATTATATAGTAATGAGTCTTCAAGGTAAAAATCTAGCAGATTTAAGACGATCAACTCGTCGTGGATGTTTTACTATAAGTACAACTGTACGACTAGCTCGTCAAATGCTTGTTGCTATTGAAAATGTTCATAATGTTGGATTTCTTCATAGAGATATAAAACCATCAAATTTCGCATTAGGAACTGGGATCGGACCTGGCGCTGTAAATCCTAGACAAATTGTGCTTCTTGACTTTGGGTTGGCTCGTCAGTATACAACTGCAAACGGAGACATTCGAGCTCCTAGACAGGTAGCCGGTTTTCGGGGTACTGTCAGGTACGCTTCTGTTAATGCTCATTCAAATAAGGAACTTGGACGCCATGATGATCTCTGGTCGTTATATTATATGCTTGGTGAATTCATAGTCGGTGAATTACCTTGGCGAAAAATCAAAGATAAGGAGCAGGTTGGCTTGATGAAACAAACGTTTGATCATAATCAGTTATTAAAGTTTATGCCACGTGAATTTAGACCATTTCTTGAACACATTCAAAATTTGACCTATTTCGATCGTCCTGACTACATATATTTGCATTCTTTGCTTAACGCTTATATGGAACGTCGTAGGATAAATGAATCTGATCCATTTGATTGGGAGATAACAACTGAGCCTACGCCTGTTACTGGTGCTAATGAGACTAATCAGCACCATACAACACAAACACCTATAGCAACTCAACAAGCTGCTCAGGTTACTGTAGCTGGAGCACAGGGAACACTAGATGTCTCCAAGCTCCGAAAGGGTATTCCTTCTGGAGTGGATCAAAATCGGCTAAATGTTGGTGCAGGCTCAAGTGGATATATAAGTGGAACTAGATTGGCCGGAAGTAGTTCAAACATAGCTCTTGTAAGTCCAGTTGTAACCACTTCAGTGGCTAATGTAGGGAAATCTTTTGATGCTATCCCATGTCATGGTGGACCAAATGGTAGTGCCTTAAATTCAAGATCAGGTGTAGTTTCACATCATCGTAATAATGTCGACGAAATTTTGAGCAACCACAACTCTCAGCAGCAACAAGGTAACAATACACCGCGTAAATCATTTTCAAATGCAGGTGCACGGTCGCATCGACCTGCCACTACTCCACGTCTTGTTAAAGAAGCTGGAGCGGCGAGAGCTCGTGAAGCTGCCTCTAAAGATGTTACCAAAGTAGATCATTTTTACTCTCCACATTCTCAAGCTAATCGCGTTTCTCCTTCAGCTAAAGTTGGTAATACCGACTCAGTTTGTCAACCAACGGATAGTTCTATACCGATTAGTTGTGGACATCGTAATAATGATCCAAACAGACTTCAACCTGGTATAGGGACAACGAACAGCAATTCATCAAATCGTCGACCTATAAGTGCAGGTGCAGCTCATCTTAGAAGTAGTGGAGGCACTATAGGAAGTACAGCAAGTGTTGTTGGGGCTGGTTCAGGGACGCGGTGCGACACAAGTTGCACACATGCTGTCATTGTAATGGTCGATCAAGGAGAAAATAGTAATTATCATGATATGACAAAAGCTGTTCCCCTTACACTCGCTAGTCATTGGATTGCTGGTGGAGAAGATGAAGAAGGTTCGGGCCTCTCTGAAAATGAGGATGCTGTCGTAAAAGTTAAAGGTCCAGCTTCTTCTGTTGCTAGTGCTTCTGGTGGGGTTGGAGACGAATACGATGCATCGAATCATTTGAACAAATTTAATGGAACAAATAATCAATTACCTGAATGTGGGAGCGGAGAAGATAATGAAGTATTTCCCAGAATGCAGTCAGAAAATGGCAATAATGACAATAATTACTTTTGTAATTGTGACCCTAGTATGCTAAATTCTCAGCGAGTCTTTCAACCTTCTGGAGATGTTAACAAGGATGTTGGATCTGGTTCTTATCAAGAGCCAGGATCAGATGAAAATAGTGGAGAGAGATCTTCAGTGAATGTACCTTATTTTACACCTGGCAGACAAGTATCTATTTCTTCTCAACATACATATGGAGAGGTTGAAAGTGGTTCCTACAGACATAATATCAATTCTTTTGGAAATCGAGGTGTTGCACGTAAGCTATCCCAAGGATTTCGCCGGCAAAGAGCACTGCCTCAATATCTTACTTCAGAATCAAAATTACTTCCAAGTTATGGTATGCCTACAGCCAAAGAAAGTTGTTTAGTCAATTCACCAACTCGTTTGAAATCTTTTAAAAGTGATAATGATAATAATTGGATCACTCGAAGTGGTGGTGATTTAATGCCTCAGTTCCCAATTCCATTCTCACGTTCCACAAGTCCATACCATCCTCATGGCTTAGAAATTGTTGATGAAAATGCTAGTATACCAGTTTCTAAGCATTCACCATATATTACACAAGAAATGGTTGATCGCAGAGGTCGAATCCAGTATAAAGATTTACATGATCATGATTATCGTGAATCAGGAAATCTAATTAATGAGTTTCATTTTGATCCAATTGTTAATTTAAATAATAATCATAATGATAATAACAATGCTAACACTAATAATAATCACAGTTATTCAAATACATGGAAGTTTAATCAAAACAGTAATTGTTTTCCTAATCCACCACATTTAAATTCTTCTAATTCCATGTATCATCATTTACAACCTGTCGAGAATCAATCAAATCATATGAGTCGTTCAATGATATTATCACAAACAAGCAGCGCTGAGCCATCATCCACATATAATCTCCTCATGCATCCATTACGAATAAATAATGAAAATAATGAGATTAATTTGAAACCACCAAATTCATCATATTTAACTGATGGTCCTATCTTTTATAAATCACCATTTCAATATTCTTCAGCATCGCCATCTGTCACGAAACCATTAACTACTACTATAATATCACGTGATTATTTTCGCTCTCGTCCTGATATCTCTTCAGCATCACGTCAATATTATGTTTCACAACCAAATAATCATTTCAATACAACTACACGACGTCCGACATTATCGGTCGCACAAAATAACTCATATTTAAAAGCACCATTTTCTAAATCTGAACATAATCTTTTACATGCTGTGGACAGCTTACCGGATTTGGAAAACAGGCGATTTCAGCCTACAGTTGAAGATGATAGTTACTTGGTAAGTGAAATATATATATTCAGTCTTGAGAGAGTTTAGGTAATGGAGATAACACTTGTTATCAGACTTAAGTAGTTCTGAAAGAGCGTGACTGACTGACAATTCCAAGCTTTGCACACCATACCAAAGTAAAAAGTGGACAGGATTAGAACTAATGGTTCAGTTAACTGTAGAGCTTAAAAGGAAACTGGTTGAGGCTCGTGATCCTATTGGTGAATAGATAGTTGTATTATCTATCAGCTAAATTTTGTTGAGTTGTAATAATTGATTTGTACTAGTTTCTCAGATTGTTAATAATAACTTATCAGTAAATAAAGATATTAAATATGTATAGCTTAATACTCATATGGGGTGGTTAACTAACATAGTATCAAATTGGAGCCGAAACAATTGATGTTCCTGTATTTATCAGTTAGAATAGACTAAAGTTATTTTAGGAGTTCTTTCAGAGTTGATTACTGAATAGAACTGGTACTGTTTAATGGCTATTTCGTAGACTAGCAGAGATATTGAAATATATCAGTTATTCATAATAAATGTAAGATACAGCACGGATTTGTGTTAGTCTGAGTTGCCACATTGAATGGCAAAGTAATAAACGAAATTAAAAGAGGAGTAGAACCAATTTCGGCCACCGTGTAAATATGGAAGTACACGAGAAGTACAGATCAAAGAATAAGTAAGATCTCAGGGTAGAAAGTTAAGAGTTACGTAACTCGACATCTAGAGGGAGTTAAGCAATTATACAACCGCTCCAGTAGCATTGATTTTATGCAATATCATTGAACGTCTCTAACAGTTGATTACGAATAGTAGTTAGTTTAGGGACAGAGTATTAAAAAGGTAAATTAGTCACTGGGGCTATAAGTTTATCAACTGAGCTGCTCTAAAGACATTTTACGCATATATATCCACCATATATCTTAGAGACTGGCTAGGGTAGGAGTTGGTTGGAAAATAGCTAGAGCCAAGTAGGTCAAGCAAAACTATATTAATCTTTCAAGTAACTGATCTCTGAGGTTTCATCGTCCTCATAGATGCAGATTCCCTGGTTGGAAACCTTATAATAACTAATCCGTGGTTGTAGACTTCAGATGACATGGGCCAAAATTGATGATATTGGAACAATTATGCTCATTCTATTCCTTCCAAATCTTTAGTTTAGCGTTATTTTATACTCTTCTTTCTTTTGTGACGAAATGTTAGGTAGGAACAGAGAACTCTATTCTTAATCTACTCAGCTAATATCGTCTTTACATAATGACGTATTCTTAAAGACTTTTTTGTAGAATATACACATAGATTGATCAAGTAACCCTATAATGTGACGATAGTTGACTATTTTGTCTACAGATAAAACCAAAAAATCTAAACAGTGACAAATACTTATACGTCACATGACTAACGCTCATTCTAACAAATTCAACTAACAGAGTTGGGTTCCACTTCAAGTCTAAGGAATATAACTACAGTTAAGTGTTAGTAGTATACCTATATTCTCAAACCTGACGAAGATTGAACATTTAATTTGTACATTCACGCTAAGGCATAAAATCAGTCTTGTTTTCACAGGTTTGCTATTCACACTCTGCAGTTAAGCGTTGGATAGTTATGGATCCCAATGTTTTAGACGAACTATTGGTCAAAGTGATTCCTTTGTGGTTGTCACATGTGAACTGTTATCTTGTTCTATAAGCTGAAACAGTCAGTCTGATATCTAGCTTCCTTACAGAGGCTAATATCTCAGTTCATCTAATTTATAAAACAACTAAGATCTATAAGGACCAGCTACTCTCCCTAGCTTCAAGAAACAGTTGTTTAATTCACATGAAATCTGGTACGATTAACTGAGCACTGAAAATAAAAAGCATAACACTAAAAAAACCTGTACTTGCCGGGATAATGTCCCATCATCCGAACCGAAATAGATAGTTTCTTTTGACTTAAAGCTCTAATCCACAATTGAGGGAAGTCATGTCAAGCGCTGCATTCTCAAAGTAGCTAACTATCGAAAATACTTTCACACCATTCGCTTTCTATAAATCTTGGAGCCCATATACACCATTGATTTGGAATCAGGGTTGTCCAACTTTGAGCGTTTGCTTTTCATTTATTTTTTCTAAAAAAATTACACACCACCTGAGGGGATCGAGTAGGATTCTCTTGGCATAAAGCGTAAACACTTAGCTATGAGAGCACTTTGAAAGGGTGAGCAAACCGTCTGTACACTTGACCGTACTAGTTCATGCACGGCTTAACAAGTGAAACATTTTTTGAGAAATCCAAAATAATAAGACTTAGATTGGTTTTAATTAATGTATGATAGACGTTATCGGCTTATTGTACTCACTTTGCAAAAAATAAGTATATGGAATTTGCTTGCTAGATGTATAATTATTTCTTGGTACATCTCAGTTCTCCATTAAAACTTTTCTCATTCATTATTTTAAACGTTTAACTATTTAATGACTTGAAATTCATGACAATAGTACTTATATATTTCAACATTTGGTTGAACTTGATGAGTCTTGTACATGAACGCTAGAATGTTAAGTTCCTAGTCTCACTTACTCATGAATCCGTGAAAAGAAAACAGGTGAAATATTTTACTTAAAATGAAGCAGTTTTCAGTATGAGTTTGAACACTGATAATATTTGTCACAAACATTATTCAATCAATTCACTAAGTCTATTATGTTCCTTTGGCTAAAGAAGCTGTTCAATTACAGACCTGTATTATCATTTTGAGCAAAATGTTTCGTATGAGTTTTACGTCCTATTGATGGTAGATAATATTTCGCATATATTCCTAATTAGATTTCAGTGAATGGTGTTTGCCAGGTCAGTTGTCTATGTAGAGTTCAACTGCTTTTCATCCATTGACCAACTAGACAATCACAGCTGGCGCGATAGTCAGCCATAATCGATATAGAGCCTGAAACACGTATACATTGGCCTACGTTACCGTATTATACCACGTGTATTAAGTAATTTGGTGTGGTTGCAATTATTTTCTATCTTAATCAAGATATTGAGTTTCAGAATCCGTACATCTTCCTTCAATTGTCCATTACATACTGTATGATTTCCTGAATTCTGTCTTTATCCCAATTGTTCCCTGTTTCGCTTCCTCTTCTCTTTGTTTCATTGTTCTGCTGGCAAGCATTCCACTCACAATTGCTATTACATACTACTTGAGTCTGTCAACACAAGTAGCATTCACCACCCCATAGGTCGAGATATTTTTTGATTTATTCAAGACACGACTGGTCAGTAAAAAAAGTATAAATCACACAAATAAGAAGATGAAATCATGAAGAGGTATATGATGGAATGAGGTACATCGTCAAAAATAATTAAATTAGTAAAAATGAGCGGAAGAGAATAGTTTATAATGAGAGAGACAGTTCATTTTAAAAGATATATAGCCAGGAAGAATCCTTTCAGTTAAATGAGTTCCTATCACGTTTTGTGAAGAATATCAAGGAAAAATGTACTAGGGTTCCATTGACTTCTATTTTGAGTTATGTCTAATAATGTTTCAAGTTACCGAGTTGTACAATCTCTAGGAGCGCAACCAGGTAGTCATAATAAACCAACAGATGCCATCCTCATATACCTTTTTTTCATACCGGTAGTCCATTTCATAAATACACCACTTCTCCTCTCTTTCGATCTAATCTTAGCGCCTAAAAAATAGTGCTCATTGTCAAAGATGCCGGGTTGACATTCCTAACACATGTGCAAACCACCAAAGCCGGTGTTTCAACATGGTGATATCAAATGCTCAAAATCTAAAACTATTCAAGTTAAAAATAGCCAATCATAACAGTTTGTAAATGTAATAAATAACTCAATGTAATCCCTCCAACAATTTCTGTGATCATGAAACAAGAATTATATTTTAATTAATGATATCGATTTACTATTCGTGTTTGTCAATAGAATGGGGACCTGGAATTCTGCTTTTAGGACATTTATGTGTGTGTCAAGTCTTTCTTAGTGCAGATCGAATGCTATCGACCTGGGTCCAGGGTTTCCTGTTGACTACCTGCAACCACCATCTTAACACTACAGTTATTCTAGACCACGTATATGATAAAAAAGTAATGACATTAGATAATTATTTTTACTTAATATACCACATGAAAAAGTTGTTTGATTGTTTTATATACCGATTCATTCATATCAATCCATTTGTATATTATTTATATTCTTATTAATTATTGTATAGTTGGTATAACAAAATGTTGGTTCTAAAAATGAAGGTCATTCCATCTTTTACAATACAAAGGTAGCTGTATATTATTGTTGTTGTCATGTGGTGGGTTTTTTTTAATTAAAAAGTTTCATGATGAATTAAACTATGCACTCACTGATATATATGTATGCACATACAGCTTAACTCTCTCTCTCTCTCTCTCTCTATATATATATATATATATATATATATATATATATATATATATATATATATATATATATATATATCTTGTAACTTTATTTCTGTAATAAACTTTACATAATTTCAATCACTTGGCCATACTTTAGTTTTGTTGCACGAAATACTATTAGTTTGCTCATCGTCGATATTTTTGTTTAATAAGTAGTATATAAACAATTCCCTGTATTATATATATGATGTTTAATATTGTTTCTTTTTCGTCGTTGTACATTGAATCTATGTTGTAATAATTCAATGGGGAAAATAGTAACAAAATAGAATACAACTTTATTCCATTTCTTTATTGTATAACCAATATATCAATGTCAGCAGAGATAAATGGTGGCTAGCAGTCAAGTCCAGGACGCGCTTCTCGTCCTATTTGCGACTCTTTAGTTAGATGTATCTGCATTGCAGAGTTAATGTCCTCTCTTGGACTCGAACCCAGTACCGTTCGCCTTAAGTGTTATCGCGTTATTCACTTAACTATTGAAATCATTTATTATACATAAAAATTGAATTGTGTACACGATATTTTTCTCAAATACTCAATGAT